AGAGTATGTCCTGGTTTCTTGCAATAATTACAAGTAATAGTGTTTGAATTGGAAGTTTGAGGAGGACGATAGGGTTGAGTACGGTTGGAAGAAGGATTTCTAGAATCAGGTTTTCGTAAATAGGTATTGATGTTGGAAGTTCGAGGAGTTTGAGAGGGATTTGTTTTATTTTTGTTAAAGTTTTTGTTTTGTTCAGCCTCGAAATGTTTTCTAATTAATAAATTGGTTATTTTAGTAATATCATCGTTGAGTCCTAGAGTGTTAATCTCATGGACAATGAAATGAGGAAGATGATTGAAAAGTTCATGTTTAAAAACTTCATCTGAATAAGTACCTACAGCTTTAGTGAGGGAAGATTTTAACTTTATCAAAAATGTATTAGGATGTTCGGAAAGATTGTATCGAAGTTGTTTCAATTGATATTGTGCAGAATATGTCATTGCAGGAGTTTTCAGGGCACTAATTAAAGCATCTAAATACTCTTTATAGCTAGTGATGTTAGGATCTAGCGTATTAGCTACGGCTAAAAGCTCATGGGCTAATGATTTCTTGAAACAACGTAATCGAGTATTATCATCAACGTTCTCTTGGGCGAGTCGTTGTTTAGTATTGGTGATAAAGTCGAAAACGTCTTCGCCTTTTTTAAATTCAATTACTTGAGGATCAGGTTTGAGATTTGAAAGAGCATTCAGTAGGAATTGAGGATTTACTTGAGGTTCACTATGAGTAGAGGAAGGTGAAGGATGAAAGAGTGGAGGAGGTTGTTGATTATTCTGGTTAGCTAGAGGATCGATATGAGCACCTAAGGTGTTTAATATCTCTAAGAGTTTTCTCTGAGATTCAAGAGGGATAGGGATTGAACAAATGTCCGCATAAGTTATGCGTAACATAGCCTCACGATCTCGACCTAATGTTCGTAATATGGTCTTTATCTCGTCCTCAGTGATTCCATTATGTCTGCATTGAGTCATCCAATCGGGAACGGCAAATTGAGTAACGGTAGCGGTAGGAAGACATTCGATGTCATCATCCGTTAATGTTTCACCAACAGATAATAAGTGCGTTTTTATGCAATCGAAGAACCTTCGTCGAGCAAGACAGGGAATAGGAACAAGAACATTCCAACCAGCGAGAGTTTGATTCATTGTTTCAAGATTCATTTCGTAGATGATTGGTTCATCTGCGGCTACATTGAATCTTCTTCTTCTTTGAACTGCCATAGTGAATGAGTTAAATAATGAGTTGGAGAGTAAATTGGAATATCACTTGAGTGATGATAAAGTTGAATGCGTAGGTAATTAAAGCTGAGTATGGATGAAAGTTGAAAGATTTAAAGTTGAAAATTGAATGTTTGAAGAGTTCAGAGAACTGGAGTTGTAATTGTTGAAATTAAAATTGACTTGAAATAGTTGAAGAAGATTTAGAGTTTAAAGTTGAGAAGAGTTAACCGGAATATTCTTAGAGGAATTGAATTGAAATGTATTGAAGGTTTAAAGTTGAAATTGTTCAGAGTTAATTGTTAATTTGAGATTCTTTGAAGAATTGGAATTGTATGGATGAAGGCTGAATATTCTTAGAGGAATAATCATGCATAAAGACTTGGTTAATTTTACCTTGAGAAGCAAATGGAATTGCTTGTGAGAAATTAGAGTCCTGAGTTGAATTTGAGTTTAATTGTTGAATTAAAGAAGAGATCATGGAAGATCTATGAATTTGAAATTGAAGGAGTTCTTGAGAACTAGAGAGTCAGGCACTAAATTCATGAAAAGGCACGGCGAGTCCGATATTATAGAGATGAGGGTTACACAAGTATAACCTTCGAAAGGTCAAATTAACACAAGGCTGTGAAACACAGAATCAGAGTTCAAACAGGCACAGAACTTAGCGATCCTGCCAGAGTCGCCAAGTGAAAGGTTTGTTACGGTAGTAATCTGATCGAAGACTGCACAACTTGCTTTCACTACAAGTTTTAAGCTCGTTTCTTGGACCGCTTGAATAAGCTATGCACCTAGTTAAACTCAAATTGAGGTTTCCGTAGATCTCCTAAGAGATATCACACACAATTCAAAGATATACTGAGAAGTATGGAAATACTTGAATAATGGAATTGAAGATTTTACTGAAGATCTTGAACTTTAATAAAGGTTTTAATGGTTAACTGAAATTAAGATATTCCTTGAGGAATGAAGATGTTGGTTGAACATAAATTTAAGGTTTTCAATGAATTTGGAAATTAAACAGAAGGTGACTTACAGTAAATGTAAAGTAAAGTGAAGAATGAAAAAATTGGGTTTTTATAACCACACTAAAACAAAGGATAATTTTGGAGGGAATAATGTAAGAAAGTAAAATTGAGTGTCTTTCGACAATGTCTGATTTTTGGGTTCATTACCAGTTAGCAACAGTTTCTTATCTCTGATTAATACAGTTAAAGCTGTGAAGCCTTTTTACTCATTAGCTATGTCTTGAGACATATATCTCTAGAGAGATAAGTGTACCTTTGGTAATGCATTTGGATTAAAAATTGAGGTGAACAAAAGTTGAAAACTAACCACAAAAAGAAAGGGATTTTTAGTTCTCTTACTTTATGGAGCTTAAAATTCAACTTTTAAGATTAGCTGAATTTAACCAAATTTTGTGGTTAAATTGTACATAGATTTAGACTGATTTAAGAAACGGATTTTAACAATTAAGATTGGCGAATTGAGTTTTTAACATTGTTGAGGAAGAATGAATCTGAGTAAATATTGTTTGAACAATTAAGGCATAATGAATTGAATTTAAATCTATGAAAGATGTGAATCTTGAGATTCAAAGAAAAAGAATTGAAATCATTGAATGATTAAACTGAGTTAAGATTTCTACCCTTCAAATCCTTGTTGAGTCCATTATTTTCACAAATTGTCATCAATTTGGTTTCTTGATTTACAGAAGTGAATTCATTCGGTTGTTTGCTGTGTTTTTTGTTTTTACTTTGCTTTCAAACTCAATTGAATCATTTATTTAACCATCTAATAAAGGTAATACAAGTGGCTCATATAATATACTTGTAATTGTTTTTACAAAATTTGATAATTTAATTGCTAATCTGGAGCAACAATAAAATGTTGAGGTTAAATAAAAATGGCTTTTTGTGTATATTTTTATGCTTCCTTGCAATACATTTGTGTGCATTATTTTTGTTTTACTTTGTGAGATGAAGTCTAAATCCAATTTCATGGTCCAATAAAATAAAGTATCAAACTTGGCCAACATTCAGTTGCTCGGAATTTTTTATTTCATTCCGATCTTCAGTCTCTTCTTCTTTCGACCATCTTGACCATCGTCTTATCAACAATTGCATTCATTTCCTGGCCAGTCTTGATAAACTTTTAGTCTTTTGTCAAATGTTATTCCGTCTTTAACATCATTTACTGTCTCATCGAGTTGACCTTTCAAACATTTATTACTATTGCAAAATTGAATGCTCAGATTTATTAGCTCAAGATCCAGGTTGAAGCATGTAAAGAGATGCTCAGAGGAAAAGAATGAGGAAATTGTGAAAAAAGTTATGAAATTAGTATAATATTGTGCATTTCGGTTTCATGTTTCTGTTTCAAAGATTTGCATGAACATTGTTTATTTTGAAATTTTATACCAAATTAATTTCCAAAACATCTTTCAACATTCATTGAAAATTGTAATGCAATAATGTTATAACGCACTAAATCAACTGTTAACTGAAAAATTGAGCAACTTATACAATAACCCATTAAGGGTTAAACATGTTACTATTCAGTCTGAGATTCATCATTAGATGGTTGAGTTTTGCTTACAATGCGAATTGCAATGCTAAATAAATGTAATGCTTACTTGTTGGCATTGCCAGTGAAATTTTTCTTACAATCAAATGAATTCTGCGAGAAAAATATGATTGAATTGTGAAAGGTTATTAATGTTAGGTTTCATAAAACAGCAAAATATTTTCAAACGTTAAAACTTATTAGCATTATTATTATTCGATACAATCAAGTGAAGATTTCGTGGACAAATTGAGCATAAACTAAGCATTTTTACAGCATTTTCAAGCAATAGTTAAACTACAAAAGTCAGAACGTTGTCACAATTCAACCTGCTGAGAGATTCACGTTTAAACAGGGCCAAGGAAAAATGAAGAATTCGCATTTCTAAATAATGTATAATGTAAATGTATAATAGTAATAGTACTATGTAATAGTATACGTAAAACTAACTTTCGAAGAGTAAGAGTTTGGTAAAAATCTGGTCCCTCAACTGTACAAAAGAAGATCTAAGTTTAATTTAAACTCAATTTTGTAAAAGACTATCGCTTGGAGAAACTTTAATTGCACAAATGGAATCATTATGCCCAACAATCAACAAAATATCAACTCTTAACTCGAATGAAAATTATTTGCTGAGGCTTTTTTCGTCTCTAAATGAATAATAGCAAAGTGAGGAAAGCTAAAGACTTGCATTTCGCATTCTGACGTTTTTTCATTACAAATCACTTTAAAGATCATAACAACTGGACGCATTTATTGCAAACTAAAATTTTCTTTGATCAAAGGTTTAGATGCAATCAGTTGGACTGCATTTTGTTTAGAATCAGATCGCATTCCATTCTTTAGTTTTCTCATTGACGACGACTTTCCATTAAGAATCTGAGTCTTTTAAATGTGAATTGACTTCATCGTACTCAAAGACATTTGCGGCAGTTTCTGGCTATATTAAACTTAGTCAGTCAGTAACTTGCAAGTTTATGAAGTCAATTAGACGATGTTGAGAAAACGGTTGCTTTTACCAAAATTTTCCTTCGATCTGTTGGCATATATTTTGGAATCTCAGTTTCACATCAATATAATGATGCAAAATAACCTAATGATTTGTGCTCAATCAGTCTGAAGCTCTGTTCTTAAATTGCTCTTCAACCTTATAGCTACCATAAATCATTGTTACTTGTAATTTATTGATATTTTTCCCTTTTTCCCTTTTTCCTTCAGTCGAGTTCATATCACAAAGCAAACCTTACATCTATTGGAAGGTCGATTCAAAACTGAACCTGGAAATGGTCACCTTCGCAGTCCATATTTGGCCCAACATCAGATAGAAACTTTCCTGATCGTTCCTGAACAGGTAAAGGCAAACTTGATCATTAAACACTTTGAACAACTAAACTTGACCCAAGTCCGCTTTTAAATTGAATAGCTTTTAATGCTTATTCATGAAACTCTTGTTATAATTGGTGAAGTTAAAAGTTTTGCGTCTGCTGTGGCTATTAATTTAGATCTCATTTCCGAATCAAAATTGTTTCCTAATTGTTACTTCATAATCACCAAAAGACGGAAGATGTCAAAGTTTTCCCTTTTCGCTTGTTAAGTGGCGTTCATTGAGAATACAAATTTTCATTCCTTTAACACTGGTCAATTGAACAGAACTGAAGACAAAAATAAACTTTATTCAATTTCCGATTCATTGAAATTCGTTCATCTAAACTTAGGTAATCAAAATTTCATTCATCATTTCATTCAATTTGCTGTTTCATCAATAATACAAAAGTCTAGTTCTGTTTGAGTTAACACAACAATCAATTTGTTCAACGTTGCTTAAGAATCTCAGGTTAACCTGATAATTTCATTTAAAACCAAAAGAAGGCAAGAATAAAAGTAAATGATAAACTTTTCAATTATAATTGAAGTTGTTTAATTCAATTCAAACTCTAAACACTCATTAATGAACATTCAAATGTTTAACTGATCAACTTTAATAAGCTGATGCAATAGCTTTTCCACCACATTAAATTCAAGTAATTAAATTATTAATCATTGGGAAAACAGGAAGGTTTGTGAAAAGCAAAGCAAAATTTGTTAGTTTATCAAATTTTGATAACAGTTTAGCCTTTAACATTCACTGGGAAGGAAAGGATGGAATGCTCATCAATATTGCTAATAAATCTGAATAAACTCAAAATTATAAAATAAAACGATGAAACTGTTGAAGAAATGGTTCCTAAAGCATTAAATCAACAAATCTTTATAAATAAAACCAGCAGTAAGAAAGATTAAACAGATTTTTCAAACTTTTGCCAACTAAACCATCAAATTTGTAGCAAATTCCAATGCTAATCGTTAAAGTATTTATTCATGAACATTTATACGAAAATCATAGAATGCACAATGAAAATTTCAGAAAAAATCTTACATCGAAAAGAAATATTAATAAAAGAGTTCAAAATGCAAGGAAAAACATTTTCTCCTTAAGAATGAAAATGTAACGGAAAATAGCTTCAAATGATTGAAGAGTTTTACATTAAGATAAGATTTCGTTAAACTAATTGAACAGCATGAATATGTGCTGGAATAGACAATGAAATTGGCTAGAATTCGTTGAAATTTGCAGAAAAAAAGTCCGAAGAAAAATCACAGATGTAAAGTAGCTTCTAATGAGCTGTTGAGTTTAATGTAATTTGCTAAGATTTACTTGAATTGGACAATAATTTGTATCGATATGTGCTGGAATGGATAATGAAATTTTTAGAAATAAAATTGTTAAGAATTTGTGGAAATTTGCAGAAAAAAGTTCGAAGAAAAATCACACATTTCTTCGTTTCGAACGAAAATATATTGCAAATAGCTTGGAATGCCATTTGATACGATTATGTTAAGTGAATAATGTTTTTCAATATGTGCTAGAATGGACAGAAAGTGCAACATTGCGACAGAAAAGTGGGAAAATGTTATTAATATAAAGATTACAAGGCAACTGTTAGTGATTCTGGGAATGAAAATCAAAGTTTTAATAACAAGCTTAACAAGTTTAGCTGATCGTAATAATTGAACCATGATTTCAACTAAATGGTAACTTTTATCTGATGCTCAAGCATACTTGCTATTATTATTATTATCTTATTATTACAATTTTACCTTCCAGTAATTTCACTAAAATGACCTTAACCATTGCAAATAAAAACGGTTGAAACTAAAAAGGTTAACAAAAGTGACATAATGATAAAAGTAGATCCAAAGTAAAGGGCAATGATGAAAGGGATGAAAATATTTATACTTTTGCTTATAATGATTGGTAACAATAATAAAGGTAATGATAATGATAATAATTACGTTACACTGTGAAAATCATCTCATAAATGTGTAAATATGGTTTGATGTTGGTCAAGCAAAGGAAGCAAATGGTTGCAATTTTGTCTTCTAATAATATCCAGTTTCCGTCTGAATTTCATTTAAACTGTTGGTAAACCTGAATAGATGAACAATCAACAGTCTGAATAGTAATCATAATCATCATCGTGTCAATTCCCTTCAGTGAATCCAATTCATTAAAGTAAATAAAATAGCCAGACATGCATTATTAGCTTATTATCAAACCATTTTCCTCAATTACAACAGTTATTACATTAGACTAGGTGAACCAGGTTAAGGTTTAATTGTATTGAATCAATTTAAGAAAACAAAACATTAATTTTATTGTATTCAAGCCTCTATTCAAAGCTAACATTATGTTCAAGTGTATTCAAGGTTTACTTTAATATCTAGTCTCTGTTTTTATTCATTTTACTACAACCAATGAACCGTTTCTGTTAATTGTTCAGTTACCATGGTATAGTAAACTTGGAATGGGATAATTTAAACGAGTTGAACAGTAAAAAAAGTGTTTACTTATGCAATTGTCAATGTTAATGAATTAGAAAACAAACAAAATCGCTTTTAAAATTCAAATGTTTGCTTTTTACTGTGTCTGGGCTACAAAGTAATTCTTACCTAGTCTTTCAATCTACTTTGATTTATTGATTCTCTCATTATCACAATTAACATTGACAATTATTCAACTTGTACCAATTGAATTGTGTCTAAAAATACGTCAAATTATAACATTCAATGAAGGTTCAAATGAAATGATTTAAGTAAACTGCTATTCGATTCAAATGGTAAATCATAAGTCAGCCTTTTAGATGTTAGATGCTTCTAGTCACAATAATAACTCAAGGAGTTTACAATAAGCTCAACAATATCAGTTGGTTAATGTTTCAAATGTTAGCTTCTGTTAAATCTAGGAAAATATATTGAAATGAATGTTGATCGTGATTAAATCAATGAATGGTCTATCTTATGAGCGCAGTAATCGGTGATCAAAGCTTTTTGGGCGTTAAATTAATAGCAATAAACTCAAGAGTTACATCTCATTAAACCTTAGTTGTTGACCTTTTTTCATTTCAAGATTCATTAATGCTCTTTATACTTTAAATTTTCATCTTTTTCAGGGTTCATGTGATCAAAATAGTCTTTCAGATCATCTAAATGATGGTCACTGTTTAAAAAGAAGCCCAATGAATTCAAGTTTTGTTAAACGTAAAGGTAAATACATGGAGCGTTGGGGAAACGATAAACCCTTTTCAAATACTTCGGAATCAATTTTAGCCAAAAATATAAGATTAACTGTAAGTAATTGTTTGATTTGAACAAACTGAATTTAAATTCATCCTTCTAATAACATTATAATCTTATTGTATTGTTTTCCCCTTTCACCAAATCCAATCATCGAAACATTCATCACAATAATGGCTGATGAAATTTCCTTGGGAATGGCAATTGAATTGATTAAAACTATAAAATCATTATAACTGGACAAATTGAATTGACAAATGGATATAAAAAAAACTATTTTTTCTCAACTCACTTCAATCTCTCAATCATTGAAATCACCTTTTCCAAATTCTGGTAACAATCAGAGTGTAGCTCTAATTGAAACTAATCTTCTTCCCAATTCACATTTATGCTGTGATACTGATACCCATGAGATGAACCCAATGCTATTAATTTTTCGGAAAAGGACACTTGAACGAGAATACATTAGCCATGATGATAATTTATTTTGTTATCATGTAATCTGTTCGTCCATTTCATTTGCCTTTCTAATTGCTGTTCAATTACTTCTTCTTCCTGAGTAAGTTTCATTGTCAAAAGGCGAGAAAAGAGGGAAAAAAATTCCAACAAATTTCAAGTGACAACCAAAGTAAACAACAGTTAATCAAAAATTGAAATTATTCTTGTTCTTGATCATGTAAAGCAAATGGTAGATGAATATTTTTCAACATTACTTGTTACTCGATTCATGATTTTCTGGTTTCAATGTCAACAAGATGTTGGCTGAGAAGAAATTAATTTCAATTTTTTGTAAAACATTTCTTCTCATCAACTAATCAACTAATCTTGCTGTTTCAATTTAACATTGCCATCGATCCAGTTGACTCTGTTGGTGAAGCTTTTTTGTCAACCTTCAATTTGTTAGTCTCATTGTCATTTGTGTCAAAAATGAGGTAACAAAAAAAACATCAACATCAAAATGCACTCAGAAAACTATTCTCAGACTTGTATTATTACCTGGAAAGAAAAAATTCATATCCATAATAAAATTGCTTTTGGTTATTAATAGCATGAAAAGGTTACCCTGGGTTAGGCTTGGTTAGATTAGGCAGTTGAATAGAGTCCAAACTGCCTTTGAAAATGAATAGAAAGCGATAAATTATTTGAAGCAAAAAAATCTTTCATCCAATTGTACATTATTAATCAAAGTTGTTTTCATTATTCAGATGAGCTTATTTTTACACTCTTACAGGTTAACCATTTATCATACATGGGAAACGAAAAACAATATATTTATTTCATTGGCAGTTTTACTTGTTAAATTATGATCAATGATCAATCAGGTTGAATCGGAATCACCAACAATCATTCATTTCTTTTTATTTAAATGTATTTGTTTCCTTTTCCCTCCCAGTAATGTGATAACATTTGATACAAACTTTCAATATTCTCACCTCTATTCAATCTAACAGAACGATTTAATTCAATCACTTGTGGCAATGTTATTTTAAAGGTTATTAAATTTGGCAGTAAATTGTTGAATCAAAAAATGAGAAAAAAATGCTTTTCCAAAAAAAATCAAGTTGCGCGCCTCAAATTTTTGAAATCAAATTTTTTAACCGTTAATTGAATGATCAAGTACACACAAAGAGTAAAGGAAGAAGAGAGAGCAATTCAATAGTCAATCTGAACCAAAATTTTTTTTTGGTGTCAGAAGATGGCGCGAGAAAGAGACTCTTTCTTTTTACTTTCTTTACAAATTTTTTACTCTCTTTTTCTCTTTCATTTCTCTTTCTTTTCATAATTCAAAATTTAAGCAACACAATTAATGTCAACATTAGAAAAGGCTTTTTTGAATACTTTTCAATGTTTTCAATGTTATTTTAATTGATTTCTATGATTTTGATGCTATGATTTCTTATTTAATGATATATTTGTGATTATTTAACAGAAAAAAGGACATTTTAACTAGTCAAGTCTGAATTCATCAAGCAAAAGTCTATCAAAAAGTTTTCATATTCATTGTATTAAGGTTTGGGACTATTTTGGTTACTCTGCTAATAAATTCTGAATTCATTGATTTTACGGGAATTCACCTTCACATAAGCAAATGGTGAATAAATTGTCGTTAGTATAATGTTGAGCATATCTATCGGTTAACGAATTTACCATTAAATTATGAATCTAACCAATGAAAGAATAAATTCAGAATTTATTGACAGGAAAAGTTTATCGTAACCAAAATATTACCGAAACCTTAATACAATGATCATAAAAAACTTTTTGATAGACTTTTGCTTGATAAATGCAGATTTTGTTAGCTATAAAGACATTATTCTGTTAAATCATCACAAATTCATCTTTAAATTAGAAATTATAGCCATCAAATATCATTAAAATCACTTAAATATAACATTAAATACATTGAGAAGTCAGTCAAAAAAGCCCTTTTCTAAATGTTGACATTAATTGTGTTTGCTTAAATTTTGAATTATGAAAAGAAAGAGAAATGAAAGAGAAAAAGAGAGTAAAAAATTTGTAAAGAAAGTAAAAAGAAAGAGTCTCTTTCTCGCGCCATCTTCTGACACCAAAAAAAATTTTGGTTCAGACTTTGTATTGAATTGCTGTCTCTTCTTCCTTTACTCTTTGAGTACACATGTTTAGTCTTGCAAGTTGTCCTTTTATTTTCAATTAAATTATTGTTTTTATCATTAATTTTTACAAATTTTACTTTTTCTGTGTTTACTGTTTGGTTCGAAATCATTTTGACGAAATGATTTACAAGAAATTGTGGAAATATTTGTTCCATTTTCTCATTTTTCTCTATATTTTTCATGCTTTGTTATTTTGCTTTCTATCTTTCCTGGTGGTCTAAATGGTCGTCAATTGGTCAGTACATGGATATCATTTACGTTACTTGCTTCAACAAGCACGGTTTTAATTACCATTGTTATCTTCAGTATTTGGTCTCACATTCATGGTGAATACAGTTCAATACAACCAAGTCCTGTTTCTCATTCATCGTCTTCGTCTTCATCATCCGCTGAAGATTCGTCATCTCCCGTTGAATCTTTCATTGGTGTCCTTAACTCACCTAGATGCATAAAGGTGACCCTCTCTGTGATTGGCATTATTTTTGTGGCCACTTGTAACATCCTTAGTGTAACCTTTTTAACCTGTCCACCTACATTACCAAATGGTTCACCTCAATCACCGACAGAGTCTATCAACATAACTTTAGGAGTCAACAAATCATTGACTAGCCAGGAATCAATAGTTAATCCTGATTATATCGATTATACTCTATCTGAATGTCAAGTGATGAGGAAACATTATTATCAGATATCACCGTTTCTTACATTATTCACAATTTCCATCTTAATTCATTTCAATTTTCTTCTCAAGTTACTCATAATGTTACTCTATTTGGCTGGATTTATAACTTCCCTGGTTCTAACGGAAACTGATAATCTGACAATAGACTCTAAGCTGTCCAAGGAGGTCCACTTCGTTGCCCTGCTTTTCGTAATATCCTTACTTCTCGATGTTCTTGATCGTCAAGTTGAGTATACTTCAAGGAGCGATTTCTTGTGGCGAGCAAAGCTTAAAGTTGAACAAGAAGAGGTTGAAACCATGGGAGGAATCAATAAGATACTTCTTGAAAATATACTTCCAGCTCATGTAGCTCATCATTTCCTTCATTATTCAATGGCCAATGATGGCTCTATTAAGGAACTTTATGCAGAAAAATATGATTCAGTGACTGTTATGTTTGCCTCTATACCAAATTATATGGAATTTTATGATGAAAATGATATCAACAAGCAGGGTTTAGAGTGTCTGAGACTTCTTAATGAAATTATCTGTGATTTTGATAAAATGCTGTTGAAACCCAAATATAGTTGCATTGAGAAAATTAAAACTATTGGAAGCACTTACATGGCAGCTTCAGGATTACAACCAGGCCAGGAAAATTTAAAAGGTTCAGCTGGTCGAGAGGCTCACAATGTTACTATATTGGTTGAATACGCGATAACAATGATGAGTATTTTAGAGCAAATCAATAAGGAATCGTTTCAAAGGTTCAAATTACGAATTGGAATCAACCATGGACCTGTTATTGCTGGCGTTGTTGGTGCACAAAAACCTCAATATGATATTTGGGGAAATACGGTGAATGTTGCTTCAAGAATGGATTCTTGTGGCGTTATTGGTAAAATACAGGTAAATTGTGATACTTTAACGTATAGAATATCAATTTTAATTTCACATTACAAACAACCTTTAATTTCACTATAAAGTGAAAAGTTGACTCCAAATTCAATCTAATCTAGTTTCATATTTCTCTTCATTGTTGTCATTTTCAGGTAACTGGAGACACTGCAAGAGTATTACAAGAAAGTGGCTATGAAGTCGAGTGTCGAGGACAAATTAAAGTTAAAGGCAAAGGAAATTTAACAACTTATTTTGTGAAAATTACAAATCAACACAAATTAATTAATTAAAGTCGACAAATCACATTACATTTCAAATGATATTGTAAATAATGAAATATTTTGTTCCACCTCAAATATCAGCACATGAAATCTTTACATTTCTTTACTTTTTGCAACTTGTGAATCAACATTTGGCCAATAATGTTTAATCAACTATTACAAGTATTGTTACAAAAATTAAAAATTAAAAACAATCGTCTGTAATCTTTATTGAATAACTTTTTGTGCCACAATCGGCAGATAGTGATTCGATGTATTTTTAATGGTAAAAATGCGACTAAACAATCAACCTTTTTCGAGTTACCTGTTTAGTTTTTTAATCATTCAAATTTTACAATGAAATCGCTATATTTATTTAGATCTCCAACCTTAGGTACTAAATTGTAAGCTGCGTAAATTACTTTAACTCAAGATAAAACAGATCTCGTTAATTAGCTGATCCATAAAGCTCAATAAATTGTAATTATAATTAACAGTTGAACAATATGCATCAGATACATGCAATGCTGGTTAATCGAAATGAGTTAACATGTTTGTCGAGTAAGCTAACCAATGATGTCAAAGTAATCTAATTTTAAATTCGGAATCATATCACAATGATAACACGGCTTCTGAATTAGTCCGATAATTGACTTTGATCAATAACTACCATTTGTTTTATTGTTTTCAGTGTTTTTGCTCTTTTATTCACTTGAAGAAATAGAATTACAAATCAACTTTTCGTTTGTATAAAGATTGGATACACACTGCACAGTGATCGAGAATTGCTTTATCACCAGCTGCTTTATCATGATGAGATTCTGTTTCAAGAAAAAATGAAAAGATTTGATTGAATAAAAAAGAAACACATTTTCGTTTTTGATTATAGTAAAATGAAGTCTTACCAGACTTATCTGAAGATCCAGTGATTGATATCGTCGTCGTCATTATCTGTTAATTCACAATGAATACATGAATTAAACAATTGATATCCAATTGATATAAAGTAATCTATTTTCTAACCTTGGCATCAACATGAATAGCAATGATTGGAGTTTCGTCTTTGGATCCATCAACAGTTAGCGTTGTTTTACCACTTGAATCAACTTTGACAGTTTTACCAGTACATGAATCGTCTATTAAAATTAAAAGTAAATTAATTAAATGTATTCGATACGCTAGTTTACGTTAAAATACCTTTCTTGTCCCCAGTAATGATATCACAATAAGTTCCTCCAGGTAAACTTGTTTGGAATGTTTGAGTAATGCTATTTGGTTCATTATTAATGAAAATGAAAGCCTTTGAGCCACGACTAAATGCAATAGCATTGTTGGCGTTATCCCACCAATTGGCTACAGGTTCATTTCCAGCAACTGCTCGGAATTTGACCATACTGTAGATCGGCTTGAATCTTTGTGTGAGTAAGATGAAAACGACGGATATGGTCAATTAATTTCTAATGATCAAAAATCTTGAATCAGTAAATATCAGTAATACCTGTGTTCACAAACCCATGGTGCTTCGCAACTTAAATCACTCTTTCTGATAACGTGTTTAATGTTTTGCTGATCATCAGCTGGTGGTCCCATATATTTGTTTTTATCGGTATCCTAATACAAATAAGGTTGTTGGATTAAAAAGATATTTTGTGCCCAAAAATATTATACTTACTCCTTGCATATCAGTGGGCCAGTCGTAACTGCTCATTACATTGGGAACACCTAAAAAGTGGGTTAAGTTTGAGATTAAATTGTGAAAGTTCAATGGTAAATGAAAATGATCATAAATGAAGCTATTTTACACACCATAGGGCCAGGCCAACATGAATGCAGTAGCAAGTTTATAGAGGCGACTTGAACGGAAATTGATTCCTTTGTAAACGTCGGATCTTTGAAGATCATGATTATCAATCATTGGAACTGCGTCACCACTTTTAACAAAATTCCAGCCCTCGCCAAAGTTCTTTAACCATCTTAACTTTTGTCCATTATTACCACGGAAAACGTCAACAATAGATGATCGATAATTGAATTCCAAGACTCGACCTAATGGTGTGTATTCTGCCATTGTGACGGCTCCGCCTGGTTGAACTTCATGGCAAAGGATTGGGCGACTGTTTTCAGGGAAGTAAGCCGTATTTAAATTGTGGACGCGATCAAATATTGCTTTAAGATCACCAGGCCAAATATGCTTTGATGCATCCATTCTGAATCCAGCAACACCAATGTCAATTAGACGATTAATTGCATCGCTTTGTACTTGTCTTACGTGTTCATTTCCATTATCCAAATCATGAAGACCACTTAGTTCACAGTTTCGTACTTGAGAAGGATTGTTATAATCTTGAATAGAACCATCACTGGTTCCACATTTTTCTTTTGAATTGAAATGAGATTGATCATAAGGTACACCTGGATATGACTTATCTGATTGACCCTTAAACGTTGATCCTCCGGTTCCAACACCATCAATAGCACCAGTCATATGGTTAAGGACGAGATCAACAATTACACGAACACCAGCCTTGTTACATCTATCAACCATGTTGGTAAAGGCAGCTTCATCACCACTTCGAGAGATTATCTTATAACTGACGGGTTGATATCGTTCATACCAAGGTCGTACCGCTGCTGGTTCATAATAAGGTTTGTTTAAAACAGCATATTCAAGAACAGGCGAGACTTGTACAGCAGCATATCCATAAGGACCAAGGAAAGTCTCACATTCTTCAGCGATATCATCAAAACGCCATTCAAATAGGTTGGCAATAACTGACCTTTCTGGTGAAGTTGGATGCAGATCAGAATAAGATCCACCAGCTTTAATGTAACAAGGATATAAAATTAAAAGAAAACAAAAGTTGAACAATTTAGTCATTTTAAATTAAAGATTAGTCTTTTGGTTTAAGGTTTTAGTTAAAATTATCTAACAGCAACAGACTCACAGTCTAGACTAACAAGCTAGACAAAACGACCGTTAAAAATGGCTGCTCCCACAGTTTTGTTTTATACTTTATGTTTCAATATAAAGTTGACCCGAATGGTAACAGTAATCTTGATCATTACCTCCATGACTAATAACATCAATTAAATCATTGCTGGTATTTCTCGTAAGTTTCAAGTTCATTTTGATATAAACATCTATTGTGTTTGGAAAGTACCTTTGAGCCATCCTTGTTTTTCTTGATTCACAATGATGGACACCGTAATCGTTATTCGTCATCAAGACGTAACATCATCCTAATCATAATTCCCATCAAAATAGACAATAAACAATCAACATTGACAATTGTTCATTGCCAGAAAAGGATCTTACTCCTTAACTTCACAAATCAACCCAAAACTAGTTGATCGAAGTGCAAAGATCGCAATTTTTGTTTTACCTAAACACAATATCAATTTATTATCAAGCAATTTGTGAATGTTAACTAACAATGAACCCTGATTGTCACCAACAACGAAGTCAACCAACCTTAAGGATATTTTCAAGCTCAAATGGTTTCAATATCTTCATCATTTGCTCATTAAAATAAGTACGCCAATGGAAACATCAAAGATTCAGATAATGAACAACAATCATTTGCTTTACAGCAAAAATTGAAAATACCAAGACAGGTTTAAGTCAAATATGTTTTTTAAAATCTTAAGAGTCTCTCTTGTCTGTAAAAGCTTGTCTTGAAAGGGTTATTTTTTAAATTCTGTTAAATTAATTCCTTTTAGTGAAATCAAACATTCGGCTTATTTCATCTTCAATCAAATTTTTTTTTGAAATATTAAATTTTGCATTTTCAAAGCAAAAGCTTACATTGATTAATTAGTCCCATCTCATGAGTCATGACAATTTCCAATTTAAGATGATAAATTTTTATTTGCGTTTTCAGTTTAACTCAAGAAACTTCAAGGTTTCGATAAATGAACAAAGTTCCCAATCATATTGATTTCCAACTCAACATACATTAAACTTGCATTAAAGCAAATTTATGATGAATGTTTAATAAGGCTGAAAATAGTAAAATGATTGTCAAGTACTCATTTACTTGGATATTTGAAGATTAACCATTTACCAGTTCGTTGTTTGTCTCTATGAACATATTTATCAAGTTTAATGTTCAATTAGTTAAAATGTTAACCGATTTCCCATTCAACTGGTTGGCTGGATTAAAAGATGATTTAATTGCCAAAGGTGTCAACTATCTTGAACGCAACACTTCAACTGAACAATTGGTTGATCATTTAATCAAGATGAATGATTTAGGCAAATTCTGGTTAGTTTGTATTCGTGGTTATTCACAGAAAGGAATCATTCCAGTAAAGAAAAGGTTAATCAGCACTGGTTTGGACGCTCTTTGCATTACAGTTCTTGGTTACATTATATTTTTAGCATTAACAGCTGACACCAGGAAACAATCGGTTCAAATAGCGACGTCCATTTTCATCTTGATCAATCTTCTTGGAATCCGTTGGGCCTCGATTTACTGTGAATACATTGACCAGTACACAATCCTTCGATTTTTTGATGACATTATTCGTACAGGTTCTTTTGATATCCATTGCCTTTTAGGTTCAACCAATTGTAACCTCTTTAAATGGTTCACCTTTATATTGTTGCAATTTTATTCCCTCTCAACAATAATCAGTGGAATAGCACTCATTTTGTATCATATTTTTGCTGTACTTCGGGTTGACCTAAAGCTCGGTTGGACACTTTTAACTGACGTTACCATACTAATAACTGTGCCCAGTGTTGCTTTTGTCATCATTTTTGTAGTTCACAATGTAACTTGGTGTTTCACTCACATTATAATACTCATGATTCACTCGGCTTTCGCCTTGGACAATATACACAAAAAAGCTATCAAATCAATGACAACATCTAAATGTAATGCTGACCCAACCCAAGCTGATTCAAATGATTGTGCTGAATACTGGCATTCATCAAATTTTTGTTACAACCAGATTAAAATAATGAAATACCAATTGAGTCCAATTACCTTCTATGGTTACTTGTTGGGCTGCCTTGGTACCGATTTCGCTCTATTCACTGGAGCCATTTATGGAACCGGTGATTCAACGTTGAATTACATTATTACTGGACTTGGACTGCTTGCTCTTCAAATATTAACCATGGTCAATGAAGCTTCAGCCTTTGCTCTTCGAATTGTAAGCTTATTTTTATTTTAATTACATGTTAATTGCTAGGAAAATCAACAGGTACCAAAGCTTTCTATTTTTATCCGTCATTTCAGATATCTAAATGTGAGAAACTTAACTATCGAATGTCGTGTTGCTGTAAATGCCAGACTACGATCAAATTGAAGGTTTGTCATTTTAATTCAATTACAACCATCAATAGTAATAATTTTGTAACATTTTATACAATTTGATATCATTTCTCAACAATTACATCTTAATTATATCTTTCAGGGTCTATTAACAATAGAGAGAATGCAATATTCCAAAGTTGGTTTCTATGTTGGCCAACTTTTTCTTATGGATAATCTTCAATATCTGATGGTAAGTGGTCATTTCAATTGCTTTTTTGATTACAAATCGCATTATAAGTTAGGCCTAAGTTTAATTTTAGTCTAATTGCTTAAATACAAGTTTGTATTTAGGTGCATAATCTGTTAATTTTGTTTCATTTGACAGTTTCTCTTGGAAAATGGAAGCTTATTGTTGCTATTTGTCACCGTGATAACGAGATGATATTGAAATTATGTATCAAATGCATGTTGCTTTCTCAATCATGTTCAAAGCTCTGTGAATTGTTAAATTGTTCAATCAATTGATAGTTGAACTTTAAATTGTTATTGTTGTAATAAATGATTTTAGTTTTAATTAATCATGAGGTAAAATACAGCACAGTTTTTTTCATTGTTTGGTCAAAAGAAAAAGAGGGAACAACAAAATTAAACTGAACAAACCAAGGAAACCGAGGTAATTTTGGCTGAAAATTAAACACAATGAAAGAGACAAATTGACAAATACAATGTAGTTATCAATTGAATCACAGTCTTGGTGGTGATTGATCAAACGATAAACATAGTATGAGGAAACAATGGGAAAAGGGTTACAAGATTTCAGGATAACAATGATTGCAAGACAAGAAAATTAAAATCGAGCAGCACATAATTTTGTCCACTTGATGCTTTATATGAATAATGTAAACGTGTGCATGGCGAGTATCAGTTTCAGCATTGGTTTATCTTCAGTTAAGACACAATCTTGAAGACATAATTTTGAGAATAATTGCCATCCAGTGTAGACTCCATTAGCAGTACATTACTTTTTCAACCCACTGTAAAGGAAGAAAGAAACAATAAAATGTGTTAACATTGAAATAGCAAAGTATTAGATGGAAAGATTCGGGAAAATGTAGATGAAAAAATTACCTCATCGAGAGTGAATAAAGCTCCTGAGGAGACTTTTGGTAGCGAACGAGCAAAAGATGAGTTTTGATTGTTCCAAATTTCAATACTGTGTTTCAATTTTAAGCAAACGTGGATAAAGTTATCAAATGATAAATGTCTCTCGTGTTTCACTGAATTATCGTGTTTTTTGCCACTAATATCTCCATAACGATGAACAATGAGAATCAGTATTTGCCGATTAACAGACAGGCCAGTTTCGTGAAGAGCAGCACGAAGCTCTGCAGTGTTAATGGTTCCACTTGAATCTTTGTCATGGCTTTTGAAGACATCACACCAATGTCTAACTTTGGTCCATAGAGATGTGAATTCATCCAAACCGAGTTTACCTTAAGAGAAAGAGAAGAATTTTTTTATTTAATTGTTCCAAATATGGTTAGAATTGAAAACATAATGAATTAAAATTACCTGATCTGTCATCATCGAGTAAAGCTATCATAGATCGACATGTATCCAAGGAGAAGCCATCGAACTTGAATTCTAATGATATAAAAGAAATGAGTTAATCAATCAATCTTATATTTAAAGATTTAAATAATCTTAAAGGCCATGCAAAGCTATTGATATTAAAATTTAAGTCTATATTAAATTCATAGACTGAAAGCAGTACAATTCATGAAAACAGAGCGCGATGATACAAGATGTAAAAATCCTTTGAAATGCAAAGGATAACATCAAGAAGAGATGTGACCATTTCAGAATATACTGAAAAAATGTGTCCATTATCTGTATTTTGTCATCATTAAACTGTATTATATTAAAGTTATTATTATGGTGTTTAGAAATGTATTGTACGCATTTAATACAACATTGAATGTTAAATTAACCCAGCAAGCAATCTAAACTATTTTAGGGTTGAAGAAATTGAATGAGATATTCTTACCAATAGCTTATTTTACAAATCCAAAAAGGTTAATGAAGTTAATGTGAATTATAGATGAGGATTAGCATGGAAAAATTTTGTTAATTTAGAAAGAGAAAAAGGTTAATCGTTAAAACACTAGCAATACCCAAGCATCTGTTTTAGTAATGACAGGAAATGAAATGAATTCATTAAATAGTGATATTTTCGTTACCTTTCTTGAGTGCATGATTAAGTATTTCTTGTAATTCAGCAGCATCAACTTCCATGTCTTCACCAGCGATTTTAGAAAAGAAATCGGCTGTTTTGGTCGATAAAACTTTTGTTCCCTGTGATTGTTGAACGGATTCCTGAAAAAGAAAAGAAATTGTTGAATGAAAAAAGAGCAAATCTAATTTATGTTAGATGAATTTGGTGGATGAGAATATTGCAACGACGAACGATTAGTATAAACGACAGTCTCGAAACTTGTAGAGACTCATGCGAATGTTGTTAATCTGTTACTTGATATGAGCAATCAAGAAAAGACGTTACAATGTTATCATCTAAAAATTTTGTGCATCATTAGAGGTAAAATGAAGGAATGACAAACTTGTGTTTCTTCACTTTGGACACAGTTTGTTAACACAAAACGAAGACCATTCATGACTGTATCAAATATCTCAATATAACGGGTTATGTTTTGAACATCGAGTATTCCTGCGCCTGGACCTGGTAAAGGTGGTTTAACTTCACGGCGAATAATATCTTCTTCAGCGACCTGAAAAATTCGGGTTAGATACACACATAATTACAAAAATTCATTCACCATTCAATTGTTTAAACATAAAAGCAAGACATAAGGATAAGAGGTTAATATAAAAAAAACAAAATTACATGCAAAGACATTGTTAATAAAATAAATTTTGATCAAACCAAATAAATCAAATAAACCATTTGGGTAAAATAAATTAAAATCAAGCAAAAATGAGGTTATCGCTGATCTTTTTCCATCTCTTCTTACTTTGTCTTTCGAGTCATCGATGGCAATAACATTATGTTGATCAATATCTTCTGGGCAATAACCAACTTCGTCATCGTTTTCTTCGGCAGTTGAGGGTGGCCTCTCGGTGAATATACGCAGCAGAAATTCACCTTCCTCATTGGGATCAAATGTGGACGGTATAATACAATATTGACCGGGAGGAAGCCTCATACGAGATGAAACTTCTCTCAAATTGATGAAAGTAGGAGATCTGGCAACTGAAGCGTTGTACTTGAAAAACTCTGTTGGTAGCAATTGACGACGAGCATAACCTCGAACAGCAGCTGGCTCATCTCCATAAGAAAAAAGGCCATCTTTGATTGCGTAAACAGCAAACCCAATGGTCAATGAATCGAGACCCATTTTACGTTTAGCACGACGATTTTTTTGCATAAGACCAACAATAAGAGTACAAAGATCATCTTCATCATCCTCATCATGGTCTTTTAGTTCAATTATGTACTGAGGATTACTGGCAAATGTTTGGATATTATTACGACAACCTCCAGCAGTTACACCAGCAACCCATTCACCTTCAAAATGCACTTCACTCCAAACCTTTTTGCTCTCATTTGTACCTATGAAAAAGGAAAAAATTTATACCATTAATATTATCATTTATACCGCAGTAAATTTATTGCGTCGCAATTTTTGTATGAGGCTCAAAACATTCATCATTCTGTTACTAACCAGTAGGCTCAGGTTTGAGATGACAAATTTCAAGTTTAGTGAAGTTAGCTTTGAAATCTTGGAATGTCATCCAAAATTCACCATCGTGATCGAAATTTAATTCAAGACTTTTCTTTTCTTCCTCAGAAACCAAAGTCCACTCTCGTGATCTATGTAATAAATTAAGTAATAAAGTGATTAATATTAAATTTACTGGTTATGAACAGATAAACCAACTAACCCGTCACCCCAAGGCCCTTTCCATTCAGCTTCATTTCCCCATGGATTTCGTATACGAATCAAGGGAATTTTTCCTACCAAAAACAAGTAATAATTATTAGGTAAAATTGTGTTATTTATGAAGCAAATTGAGCATTGGTTGATAATCACCTTGAACCCGAGAAGTTTTTAGGTCAACACATCGAACTGCTGTTATAGAGTATGCATGTCCTTTGATCAAACCTGGAACGATCAAAATATTGAAAAAATTGCAATTAAAAAAAGGCGAATGAAGTAATTTGAAAACCATCATAATAATTACCATTTGGTAATTCTGATTCCATTGAAGAAGCGTCAAGAGCATCAATAGAACAGCCCATAAAAGAAGATCTTTGGTGCGCTTTAGTCATTATTTGAAGCAGATTGGCTGGACATTCATCTGATTGAATCTCATAGAATTCAGTCAAACCACCTGAAAAATTGGGAAAGTGAGACAAAGATTGGGTTTAGTGTAACTTGAGATATAGATCATGAATTGGATTGGGAGCGATGATGAAAAGAAGTGTAAAATTTTTGTACCAGTGAAATCAGTTAGCGCCTCTGTAACAGTTCCTCCTTTTAAGGCTTCATAACTGCCATGCAATCTAATAATAAAAACATCACGATAAGATGTTATTCAGAATTTCATAGAAACAAGATTATCAGTCAATAGTAACAGTACTTTGCATAAGCTTTCTCTAAAAGTGCGCTCCAGAATTCATTCCTATCCTTTGAATGCATGAGAACAAGCTTTCCATTCATGGTTGGTAATCGATCATCAACGCAAATATCAATCCATTTACCATATTGCCAGAAACGGAAATGAAAGATTCCTGTTTAAAGAAGAGAAAAAAACAGATGAAAAATTAATGATAAAATTTAATTTCCAGTCCAAGAAGTGTTAAAAAATACAAACCAGCATAATCGGAACCAAAAGATTGATCATGAGGAACAACTCTCCTGAAGAGTTTCTCATTGAGTGTCAAATTAGCAATTGAAGCAAGAAGCCAACAATCACCGAGCTCGCCTTGACAAACATCGAAACGTGAAGCTCCTGTAATATAATAATTAGAAGATACAGAAAAAAATTAAGAGGTAATTTCAAGATGATTGAAAGATGAAGTAATCTTCCAGAATTTTAACTCCTTTCAAGCCTACAACTTTTTTTTGTTAAATCTAATAAAAGATTTAATTTGCCAAAATATAACTCAGATGAAGCTTTGAGTTCAAATTAAACTGATGAGTAAACCTATGAAAAACTTGATGAAAGCTTGAACGAGTACCATTTCTGAATTTACCAGATTAATGACCAAATGACAGATATTATCCAGATAAGAAAATAGTTCAATTGTAAATCGTTAACAATAAATGAATGTTTTGTATACAAAGTGCAAGTTAATAGTTGAGTGCAAAATAAATACAAAAAGTTCAATGAAGTTAGATGTAGAAAAAATACAAATTTTGAGTTAAACAGTAGATCATTTGAAACTGTTCAACTTGTAAAGTGAAGTAGAGACTGTCAAGTAAAATTGAAGCAAAAATGAAAATTTTGAAGGGAAAACAAGTCTGAATGTTTATCAAGTGAATTTGAGCATTTCAGGATTGGAACCGAGCCTAAGAAGACGATGTTAATCATGATGGTGTACATAGCATTTTAGGAAACATTAAAATGTTTCCAAGCGAAACAATCACACTATAATCAAGCCAAAATTAAGGTTTCCCGCCTTTTATAGCATCTTATCAGAGTAAACATTTTCATAAACTGAATAGGGTTGCATAAACTTATTATCATTTGGGTTAAGAATTGTTTTAAACATTGAATTTTGTTATTTGGCATCATCGATGTAAAACAAAATGTGATAATTGTCAAACATTGAGACAATGGGTTAAAAAGGCAGAATGGTTAATTTGAGTTCATTTTGAATCAGATAACTGATGTAAAGGATAATTTACTTAATTGGTTTCAGTGGAATTGTGTATAACCTAGGAAATTATTGAACTTCAGATTGCTATTCAGGATTGACAGATAAAATTGTGAGAGGAAATTATACGATAAAATGATGAATGTACAGTAATTTCCTATTGAATTTTGCTCAGACATCAATGATACAAAATATACAGCAAAGGAAGCACACATGAATAGAAATTATAAGTAAACAATTAACCGTCAAGTCATTAATTTGAATTACTACGAGAACTGGAAAGATAATAGTCAGTGAATTAGTCAATGTTGTTAAACGAATTAACTAATTCATTGTTGTGATTAGTTAAGTTACTGAGCGAGTGAAATATTTTCAAACTGCCAATAAGTTGAAGTGAAGGATAAAAAAGCTTAAGAGTCTGAATTTTTTGAATGTGATCATCATAATGGTCTAAAATTAACATTTTATTGATTTGATTTATCAATAATGAGGAAAACATTAACTTGAATGTTTAAACAAACCGGTTACATGACAGTCAGTTAGTTAAGGTCATGACGGTTAAGCATTGAAATTTTCAAGATCTGCGAGTAATATGAAACTTCATTGATTGGTGTTACTGATTCTGATAGCAAAATATTGGCTCAATGAATAATGTGAACAGCAAAATAGTTTAGTGTTTCTATGAAATGTCAGCATTGGTTTATAACTCTTGACTGCCAAAGAAAATTTGAAAATTAATTTTAAATCGATAGCTTCGATTACTTCTGAATAGCTATTTATATTTTTCCAACATTAAGCAAATAAACTTAAACAAGAGTCTTAATCAAGACAGAAGCTTTTTCTTGACATTTTCTCACTCAAATTGCTTACATTTCTAAATCATGTTTATCATCCAAAAGAAAATCAGTAATTCTAGTTCATTCCTGGATTTCAAGGATAAACAACCAGCTAATCAATACAACGAGTCACAATATAACAATGTATTAGGTAAAATTATACAGCTATTGGAGTAGAGGTTAATGAATCCAATTCAGGTTGGAGACAATGAATTAGATTGATTAATGCAGCTTTGACAGTTGCAGGAATCATATTGAGCAAGATTCAAATTGGCTTTCCATATGATGACACATCAATATGTTACTAAATGACCATCAGTTTTTGAACATACTGAATATCTGATAATACTTATGAACATAATGGGTTTGAGTTGGCTTTTGACCATCAAGCTAGAACCAAAATTGGGTGTGTCGATCAGGTAAAAATGAAGAAATTTTATGTTTTGAGAAATAGTTGAGACAAAGTAAACTATTGACTACAACTGAAATAAAGAAGGGATCATGTAAAGAGAGTGAAAGGTTCATTAATGTATGCAAATACATAATTTAATGACATTGTCCCTGGAGAACCTGAAAACAGACAATTTTCACTGATGTACCTATTGTCAGGTAAAAACAAGAAACAGTGAGACAGTAGGATACATGATGTTAAAATGTTGATTAGAAGCTGGAAGTAAATTAAGCTGTGTGAGTGTAGAAACCTTGGAAATATTGAGAAATTAAAAGAGACTCAGCGGATTTCAAATAACTAACCACTTGCTCTTGAAAAGGAATAAATTGTTCGAAGGAAAGGACACAGATAAATAACACAGCCTACAGTTAATAATTGAGAATGATTTACCTTCCAAAATGAATTTGGGATCATCGACTAATTCTTTAGGTCTCATCCATTTGAATTCGTTGCCTTTACGACTTGAGAAAAATAGAGATGCTCCAATGGCTGGAAACGATTTATCTTCAAACAATTGTCCACTTTGGAGACATTGGTCACGAATTTTGTGGAAATCTTGAATGGCATCGGGATTAGGAGCTCGGAATCCAGATCCATGTTCACCAAACTATGAATAATTATCAAGAAAATTATCCAAATGAATAAAGTATTAATCAAAATTTTCACTAGCAAATTAAGTTAAAGAACAGAGTAAATTGAGAAGATGAGAAACCGATAGATTTCACAGACAATACAGATTGTTGGGAAAACAGGGTAACACAGAATAAGTGGAACTTCCGTTAAGTTGAACTAGACCAATAAAATGAGAATTGAATTGCACTAGAAAACTAAATAAAATAAAATTAACCGAGATCAACTCAACTGAGATTCCACTTGATAGAAAAATTTGAAACCAACATTATGAACAGCCATTTATAGAAATATTTAACGATGAAATTAAAATTTTAAAGCTAATTATCACCAATCAGTGACCCAAAATTATAAGATTGGTTGAAGAGAGCAAAAAAACACTTTTATAATACATAAGATATCAACAGTTGGGTGTGAATGAAACAATATGGAAAGTTTATATGGTCAGAGAGTTGAATTGAACGTCAGAATCGTGAAGACGTGGTAGCTAAAGATGAGTGAGAAAATAGAATAGGAAAAAAGGAAGGAAAAAGGAGATGATAGAAACAGATATAAAGTACTAGTTGTTTACCTTGTAGAAATGTGGCTCTCCCATTGTATACAAGGCTTTATGTCATTCGAATGGAAAGATGGTGATGATGATTAAGCTATCTTGGAGATACTTGGAATTGACTGTTAACTGAGTAAAAACAGGTCAATAATGGGTCACCAGTGAATAAATGCCTTCAGAACTTGGTTAAATATTTGATATCGATGGGTAAATGCACTTTAAATGATTCTGTCCGAGTATTCAACACTTAACAAGGGTTGGTGGAGGAATGAAATTGAGAAATAACTGGAATTTGGAAATGGTAATGTCAACTTCTATCAATATCAACACTGCGCTCAATGTGATCTTAAAGGTGTCTACCAAGAGTAATAATTGGTTTTATTATGTGTATTTAATATTGTCTTAGATACCAAACTGTTAAAGGTAAGAGAAAATCTGATAGAAGCGAAAAAGATCGTATAAAATTTGAGATAACCCCAACAGCTAAGAAGTACGGGAAATTAAAACAATAAATATGGTAATAGAAAATGGCTGGAATGAATTATCAGGCACTGAAAACCTAAATAAAATTTAACGACCAGAATAAAGGGTTAACTCGTAGTTGTCCGTGTGTTTAGATGACTAATATAACTGCTGATGTTAATACTGATGTTAATGTCAATCATAGGATGAAACCAGGCAAGCCCAAAACACAAGTCCACTTTTAAATAGACACAATGGTGCCAACAAATAAATAAATAGCCAGCTATATCGAGTTACAGATGGATAAAAATCAACTTGGGATTAGGTTAGTTAATGGACATATCAAAATCACAGAAAAATTCAACGATTAAAATGACCCTAAAATGTATCAAATATTAACTAAAACATAATCCGATTTGAGTAACAAAAATCCGGGTGGGTCTTCAGGTTTATTACTTTATAATGTTGAGTCACTTTCACTGAGTTAAGATGAAGATGATTTAATAAAGATTTACATAGAAATAAGATGGACACTTATTAATAAACTTGACCGTCCAATTGGTTGAAGACCTTTGGTTTAATAATAAAGAAATTAAATCTGAAGCTAAAATAAATTGGCCCCAAATTGTAGCGATAGTCTCCACAAAGAGGTAGAGATGTAACAATTAAAAAAAGAAAAACATTGAACAAGACAACACCAAGCAACTCATGTGTAACAAGAGACAGTAATACTGGTGAATAGAGATAGTGTAATATTGAAGTATCAAGTAAATTGGTTTTCTGGTTTCCTAGCCTCACAACACTCAGAGATAATCATCTGATCTTTAAGAGTGTTTTTCAATTTTTAAAATTATGATTGTCACTCAGATAATTCATTACATTAGAAATATTTCACTGGGTTAACCAATTACAAAATATTCAGTCATGTCAACAACCCTTGAGTCAGTGTCTCCTCTGAAAACTCTGTCTTGAAGTGTCAGGTCAGTTGATGGAAAACATTAAAAAATTGTACTAAAAATTTCAACACTAACCGTATTATTATTATTCTGATTGATTATGTCAAATTATTAAGTGTTAAATTGATTTAAATTAATAAAAACATTCTTTTGTCAAATATTTGAATTTAGTGCCTTTCAATCTGGATAAATTGTAGCTCCACCTATCTTCAGTCACCAATGGTTGCTGACCAAACATTTGGCGGGAAGAAGGGTCTCAGGCTCAGCTTGTCTTATTGTTTTGATTGTGAACGCTTTTTTGACAACAATTTTGATTGAATTTATCTCGTTTTTAATTAATATGGAAGATCTTGATTCCCAGTTAGACGTTATTTTTAATGAAATTACTTCAACTTTAACTGAAAAACACAAATTCACCAGTAAAGTTGTTGAAGAGAGAGTTTCTCGACTCAAAAAGTTTACTAAAAAAGCTGACAAGGTTTACTTCAATTATTTCAAGGTAAGTGATTCAATTTATCTTTAATCTTGTTTTTCTAATTAAATCTTTCCATTTTATTCATTATGTTTATCTTCAGAACTGTGTTGATCATTTTCTAAATGAAGAAGTGAAAATTTATGATGAAGTCAGTGCCAATCTAAATGAGGATGAAGAGCTAACTGCCCAGATTTTAAAAACCTGTAGTGAAATTGAAGAAACCATTGATGATACTCGAAAGATTCTTGGACAGAGTCATGAATTAAGCAAAGGTATTGAAACTATTAATAAGAGGATACAATCGCATGAACAACTACAAAGTCTTATAGAAAAATTAAACGGAGTCATCGAAGAATCTGAGTCAATTGTATCAATGAAGCATCAAGAAGAGGCGATCGTTGAAGATGAAATGTAAAATATGATTTTATTACCATTAGCTGTTATGTTATCCTGATACTAAACCTCATGACATGAATATCACATATAAATAAATGGAAATTGGTCTCAAAAAACTGTATTATGTTGATTATTGCAGAATTTCATGAAATATGAATATTCCAGGATAGGTATGGAAAAAATCTGGCCATTATCAACATTTCATTGTGAAAATTTTCTCGTTAAACATCCAGTTCAATTATGGCTGTTCAGTGTTGCTAACCGTTTCATCTATCTAAATATTGGTTTCTTCCCTGAATATAATGATAAGGGTCTTTCCAGACTTACATTGTGAATATCTTTTGGTTTTCTAGGAGCTGGAGCAGGCTTAAGTTTAGGCTTTAGAACTAGCTCACTTAAAGCCTTTATTCCGTCTTGGATCACCTCTTCATTAACATTTAATTTTTTTAGTGTGTCTGGTCCAATGAATGAGGCTGCTGTTGAACTTTTTCCATCTGGTGATAACACTGATGCTGCGCTATTAGCCAATTCAATGCACTGGGTCAACTGATTGCCCATGCTGATGATGTTCTCAATGTGAACGATTTTTGGATCGAGATAGTTAAATCGATAGCTAGTAACACAAACAATCAATCAAGATTTTTCTTTTCCACTTTTTTATCACAGTTTATCTTTTCAAAATTTCTTTATAATAAAGGAGTTAAATAAGAGAAGATTGAACAAACAAACTTGTAAAATATTCACTAGCGATGAAAAATGGTTTCTAATGGATTCGAAAGGAGTGGGAGATTGTGAACAGATGAACAAAATATTGGTTGTGATGATGGTATCTGTGAAGGATGAGAAAAGACGAAAATGCTTTTGATCAAAGTGATTCCTCTCAGAAAAACAAACTGAAGAAATGGTGAGAAAGATTTACAGTCTACCAAGATGAATCCTATTCACCTAATTAGAGTTACCAAGAATAGATATTTAAAGGGAAAGGATGGGTGCCATGAAAAGCATCAAAAGGAACAAGATTCTCAAATTTTTACCTCACATCATCAGAGATCATCAAACAGTCCTCGTTTTAAACAGTTCACGATTCCTCTTAATAAATAGCTTAATTTGTTGGCATTTTATTTCAAGATCATTGGTTATCAAAAGCTTCATGATTTCAATTGATTGATTATACTAACTAGCTTTTTATCGGATTGCTCACAAAATCAAAGAATCATTAATTAATTTACTAAATAGTCACCTATCAACACATTTCTGAATTTAAAAATGTATAAATTAATCAAAAAGGTTTAATAAAAAATTGAATGTTCAATTCAATATCTTTCAATTATTCAAACAATCATAGACAATTAACAGAAGGAGATTCATCTGAACCTTATCTTGATTTTACCCGTTGAATCTGATCAATTGTAAACAGATTTATGTGGTTTATTAATTATTTAATAATACACCAGATTTTATTGATTCGCATGAAAATTCATAAATTTATAAATCACAGGGGAAATGCAATAGAATGAGAAAGTTAGGATTCATTTCCTTAGACAAATACACAGAAAATTCATATTTGTTTTGATTAATAAATTTCTCAAGTGGCACTATCAAATTGTTTTCCAATTCAGGTAGAGATTCAAAGTTTGAATTGCAAGTCCTTCATTTAATTCAACGCTTACCATAGCATAATTTGGTCACATTTGATGATTTAAGACTCAAATTTTCCATTTATTTATTCATTGCTTGTATTTTGATCAAAGGTTTATTTATTTAAAATGATTTAATTTGATTAGGGTTATCTGTTGTGCTATTAAGAATCAAAACTGAAAATTGTTTTTGTTAGGGTAACTTTTTTCATTGATAGAGGGAGATACTGAGACTTGAGACTTCAGTCAAAGCAGTTGACAAAGCTCAACACTTTTTTTTGTATTTGTTTATTAATTAGATTATTTACAGGACTTCTTGCTTAAAGTAAAATTTTAATTAACTGTGATTAAGAGGCTAATTGTGTCTCTCTGGTGGCCGTTCATACTCTAATAGGTAAGTGATTGTTTACATTAAAAGGTTATTCTCGATTTTTTGAATGGTCTTTCTTTTTGAATGCTATTGTTGTGAATATGCTTAGCACTAATCATGAGACTTTATTTTTATTTTACCATTTATTAAATGGCCAATTTCATTTACCAGATTAACTATGGATTTTGTCATGGAGAACCAGGATATCAAAAGTCTTGAACATCCCACCCTTAAAGTACCCTATGAAATATTGAATAAAAAATTCCGTGGAGCTCAGAAAAGTATTGATCGAGAGGTTTGTCATGTTCAAAGCTGTGTCAATAGCTTAGAGAAAGCTGTCCTTGGGCAAGGCTCAAGTGCAGCCACAGTTGGAAGTATTACTGATCTTTTATCGGGTGTTGTTGAGAAACTGACCGTTCTTAAGCGCAAGGCCAAAGAAAGTATCATGGATGAACTAGATGCTGCTAAGTGTTGTAAACGTCGCTTGGAACATTTAAAAGAGTATTGTAATCCACGAGCCACGGAAACTTCAATCAAACAATGGAAAAAACGTCGTTTGGACAGAATGTTGGTAGAACATTTTTTACGATCTGGTTATTATGACTCTGCAATCAAATTAGCAGTTCATTCCAATATTGAACATTTAACAAATATTGATTTATTCCTTGTTTCAAGACAAGTTGAAGAATCACTTCTTCGTAAAGAGACAGGACAGTGCCTAGCTTGGTGCCACGACAACAAGTCAAAACTTCGCAAAATCAAAAGTCCGTTAGAGTTTAATCTACGACAACAAGAATTCATTGAATTTATCAGACAAAACAAGCGAATTGAAGCAATTAAACATGCACGTAAATATTTGAGCTGTGTGGAGGGTGATCAAAAGATAGACCTTCAACATGTTATGGGACTACTCGCTTTCAGTCCTGATACTGAAGTTGAACCTTACAGGACATTATTTGAAGAATCACGTTGGTCTAATTTGGTTGAACAATTTCGCCAAGCAAATTTCAAATTGTACCAACTAAGTCCAACATCTGTTTTTGCAATTACTCTCCAGTCAGGTCTTTCGGCGCTCAAGACACCCCAATGTTATAGTAAGGAAACGGAAAAGAACCCAGACTGTCCTGTTTGCTCGGATCTTCTGAACAAGTTGGCCATGCCCCTTCCTTGCTCACATTGTTCACAATCTCGTTTAGTGTGTCACATCTCTGGTCAACCTTTAAATGAGCACAATCATCCAATGGTCCTACCAAATGGAAATGTTTATGGAGAACTTTCACTCAAACAAATGGCCATAGACAATGGTGGTAAAATTATTTGTCCTCGAAGTAAAGAAGTTTATGATCTAAAAGACGCTGAAAAAGTTTATGTCATGTAATCAAAATAAAATACATTGAATAAAATGCTATAAATAATGCTAATTCGCAAAAAAAGTGTTTATAAAAATAATTTTAGCTTCACCATTTTCACTGTCATCATCCCTTCTACACACTGATTTTCGTCAACATGTCAATACCTAATATATCCGATTCCAATGATAATCTTTGGATAAAATCCAAAGCAAAACAATACAAAATAATCTTAAAAAATTTGTTCAAATAAAATACAAATACTTATTAGAGGTCATTGAATAAAAGTTTTTGCTTTATTAGCCAACAAAAATGCACTGTATAACTAAAAAAGATGATCAATTAGGTGCCAACCAATAAATAAAATGTTAGCTTCCAGAATTGTTAATTTTTTATTAAAAACTCATCCAATCACCTTTGGTTGTCTTGTATTGGTTAAATGTAGAACAAGTTGTGTACAATTAATTTAATTCAACGCCATCTTTCTTATATCATTTTAACTCAAATTTCAGTTTGAGAAGTGAATGCATTTTTCTGACACGCCGGATTAAATTTTTCATTTCCATGTAAACCACGTTAACTACCAATAATAAAATGATTTCAGGAATGTCTACTTATAATTTATATCGGCTAATTTCATTTGCTGTGACCAACACATTGCCCCCTCTACTTGATATTTGACATTAAATTTGAATAATTTGTAAGTATTTAAGCTAATCTTTACCAACTTGAGATGAATTTATCCTTTAACCAACATCTAACATTGTAAGTGTTTTATTGTTTCCTTTTCTTTATCTTTTTATTTGATTTATCTTTTATCTCATTGAAATATCATCATCACCATCATCTTCTGACCACAAGTAACATCAGTAACTTTTTTATTCATGTTTAATTTTGTTTTCTAATTTTAAATATTCTCATCAACATGTCTGCTGTCTTAGAGGATCAATTTATACGTTGCTTCAAATTTGATCATCAAGAAAAAAATCTTTGTGTTGGTACAAGAAATGGGCTTCGCAACATAAAATTTTCAAATCCTTTAGAACTCAGATGTCAGGCAAAACTGTATGGAGTAGAAGTCTATCTCCTCGAATTAATGCCAGGCACCAATGTAATAGCTTATGTGACCGATGAAGAAAGGAACAGACTATGCTTTTGTAATTTTAGAGGCGAACTATACGTTCATGAACCAATGTACTATGCTCGACCTATTGTTCGCGTTAAAGGGAGTAAAGAACGAGTTATGGTAGTGGTTGAAGATACTATTTTCATCTACAATAACATTGAAAATTTGAAGCTTATAAACGAGATCTCTTTATCAGGAATAATCTCAGAAACCATTGTTGATCTTTCTGAGCATCCAGTAAACAGTTATGTTGCCTATCCAAAGTTTGATAAAGTTGGGCATTTCATTCTTGATGATTCCGGCGCACCAAGCAATAATAAAAACAAAATTATTCAAGCCCATGATAGTCCACTTGTTGCAATAACCTTTGATCCAAATGGAAGGACCGTGGCAAGTGCTAGTGAACATGGAATCCTAATAAAAGTTCATCGTGCTTTCAATGGGGAATGTGTGTACGAATTCAAACGAGGAGTAACCTTGAATATTACAATAACTTCACTTTCGTTTTCTAAAGATGCGAAATTCCTTTGTGCTAATGATACAACAAATAACTTAAAAATTTATAAGTTGGATTATTCAGCGTCTATTGTCAACACAGGATCATCCTGGTTTCGGGAAAGGTTCCAGTCACTTGCTGAGTCTATTTTGCCTGAAAATGCATCTAAACTGTTATTCGACGAAAATCCATTTGCTCGTGCCAAATTACCAGAAAGCAGTGCTTGCAAGTCAATGTGTACCATATATAGAGATGAAAAAGGTATTAGTCATCTTTTAGTTGTAAATACGGATGGTCTTGTATATACGTACTCGATGGATGCCGCAAATGGAGGTCAATGTGAATTGTTAAAGTCTTTCAGTATTGCAGCTAACAGATACGTTGAAAATGCAGCTGATACTGTAAGTAGCATATTTAATTAACCAATTTTGGAAGTAAATTTCTCATTTCTTTCACTTTCTCAATTTCTAACAGTGGGTCATGGTTTGAATATAAACTTCATGGTACGGGACGTTATGGCTTTGATCTCAATGGCACTCATTCCAAAGATTTTATGTTTTTTAAATTACGTATGTTGAGTTTATCAACAGTATACCATAAAAAGGACACATTTTTACCTTTAATGATCATTTTATTGGCGAAATTAATTTGCTGCTAATAAAATGTTGATTCTTTTGAGTTTTAAAAATTTAAAGGAAATAAATTGTGTGAAAAAATGGATGAAAAGCAACCATTTCAATCAGTACTAATTCAATTTTCTTTCTCTGATAGATTTTAGGTAAGCTCATATCATTGAAATTTGTTTAAAGCGAAATTGATTGGTCGAATTGGCGCCATGAAGACTTGATTATAGCGCAATCCACATCTTAAAATCTCTTTTTCTTAATCTTGTACATAACCTATTTGTAAAGCTGATTTACCAGCCTATATAAAGTACATATGGATCCTAATCAAAACGCAACTTCAAATAAATTGTATACTTGTGCACTGATATGCCTTGACAGAATTGAAAATGATTTCACTATATGAGTTGTATGACTTGATAAGTGTTTTAAGGTTCCTTTGAATCTTTTTGAGTTAAACTTTTATGGAAATTGTCTAAAAATCTGTTGTTGCTATTCATTGATCGTACCATTTGTTTAGGCATCTTGTCAAACAGGACAAAACCAGCACTTCTTTCAATGCTATCAATCGGAACTTTAAATGCTTTGAGAGGTATATTGTCATCTATCTGCTTATTCTGGATAACAAAACTTTCAATTTCGTAGTTTCCATCATCATTCTCAACCAGAAGAACTTTGAAAAAATGAGTTGGCACTGAAACATCGTGATCTCCAATGACTTCATACTTTACGTATTTCTTTCCATTTTTATTCCTGTTCAACAAAAGTGTAAGTTTAGATTAGCCATATTGATCAAAGAGGTAAAGCTATACATACCTTGGGAGATACAAAGGACCCGTAACTGTCCATAAATTTTTTGCTCGACGTGCTCGATAACGGACATATTTTTCTAGATTATTCCAAACACCACGATTGAATCCAACACCAACTTTGAAAAGATAGAACAAAAATTGTACTTATATTACAAAACGAAACATTATTTCATCCATTTAATTTACCTTGTGGAGATATGTTGGACAAGATAAATGTTTGGCAACCTTCTTCTTGATTACTTCTGTAGTTGCCAGCTGGTGCTAAATGTCCTCTATCATATCCACTGCCTTTGAAATCTTGGTTTCTGGCTCTAAATGAAGGATGAATTGAGGGATCTTCAAAAAAATCACAGTTTTTCCTAGATACACTGGCATTTCTGTCCAAACTTTGAGGCGTCAAATGCTCAAAGACCCAATTAGCAGTGCGTAAACGACGATCGTAAGAAAGGACAAAATTTTTGTACAACCTCACAGAGTCATAACTTGGATACCCATGTTTCATGATCGTGGATACTCTCGAGCTGGTCTGATCTGTGGTTGGTTTTATTTGACTAGATGAAATGGGCATTAAAACATCGGATGGATTGATACCATCAACAACTGAAGAGTCCGCACTGACTGAAAAATTTACTTGATTTCGATGCCGTTCGAATAAAATTCCTCCAGTGCAACCAATGGCAGCAGCAAATCCTGGCACGATCAACTTTTTAAACATGATTTCTTATCAAACCAATAGGTTGAAACAATATGGTATCAACAGAGGCTGATAAGGATTTTGAAAGTTGAAATTGATAGTTGAAAGACACAAGACTGAATAAATTACTTGAAATTCAGTTAAGATGCATGAGCTATTTACATGGATAAAAAAATAGTCGAGTGATTAATTTTAGATTGAATATAATTCGAAGCAAATCAATCTTCTATATATGTACATCGAACTGGTAAATATTACAGATGGTTTTAAACTCCAGCTGATTTTGTGTTATTTTGAAGCTTTGTTTTGAACAGCACTTTTAAAAAATTAAACACTAAATGAAGAAGGTATTTTGGTTAAATGTCAATCCTTAAATATGAAAAAGATACAAAAAATTACACAGCAACCTCAAGATGATGTTTTCACTCTGGTTTAAATGGCATCACAGCTGATTTTAACATCAACCAGCAAAGTCATATGCAAGCAATGCTATTTGAAAAATCAAAACAAAGAATATTTTTTTTCTATTATTTTCTCTAAATTACGTACCGATTAAATTAATTATCACTTGCAAGGGTTAATCAATAAAAAATGAACATGTCTATATTTCTGGTAAGTACTTCAATTGGTTTCATTCGTTTCATTGATACAATATAATTTCGAAGATTGCATTCAGGCTAACCATCATTGACTATCATTTAAATACTGAGATGACATGCAGCTAAATTCATAACTTACGTTCATGTTTAGTAACAAAAACGAAAGTTTGTCTTTACTATAAACCTTTAGTTTTCGATTTTAATTGATATGCAAAATTATCGTCGATTGCAAGTAAACTAGAATTACAGATATCTTTTTTTCGAGACGTTTAATCCGTGTAGCGAAATAGTAAGATTAAGGTCGTCTTTCGACCTATAGTCCTTTCGTCGTAGTCTATAGTTCGAAGTCGTAATTGACTTATCAGGTAAAAAGTGCAAATGGTTTTGGGGTTATTAACTCTGGGTTAGTCAAGGTTGTAATTAGTCGGGGAATCAAATCAAAGTAACGAAAAGTCGAATCATCATTAAAAACATTCAAAACTTTATTCATGCATCGGCCTGAAGTTTAGACATCATCTTTACTACATCTTGGTCAAATGGGATCGATCCATTTTCATTTGTTTTCATTCAGTTTTGATAAATCATTGTTCAGTAGGATTAGGAGCTAGGTTACAGGGGTACTTAGCGCTAGATTTTTTATTAGTCCCCTATTTTAAAATCTAATGACATTTCTACGTTTCGAGTAAAATTGTTTCTCAATAATAGGTCATAGGCAAAAGTGTCGTCAACTACTAGGAAGTCAGTCCAGATGGAAACACGAACATGATCTCTTTTAATGAGTCACTTAGTTTGTCCCAGAACTCGTAGAAAATGACCTTTGACAGATCAAACTAGAGGGTTATGGTAGAATCGGATTGAGTTTTTATCTCAACGAGCCTATTTAATCAAAGAAACGGTTGACCCAATATCAATCAAACCTTTTAGTCACTTGTTGACTGTGCACTGAACATAGATACAATTTATGCTCAAAATCAGTGACCACATTAGATGGTGGCTGCGCTGGTTGCTGAGGGAACACTCTTCTAGAGTTCCCAAAAATTTGTGGCATTTGACTTTGAGGTTGATGTTGTGAGTTTGTAGGACCATTAGAAGTTGCATAATGTTGAGAAAGATGTTGATTTGCCGTTGGGTAAAACGGTCGGTCGTAATAATGCGATTGCTGATTTTGATTGGGTTGTCGAGGACGAGGAACGAAATAATTGAGTGTACCATAATTTGAACTAACAAGATGTTGGCTACCTTGTTTTGGTTGACTCGACATTAGTCCATAGTCGTGAAGTTGTAGTCGGCAATTGGTTTGATGATGACCAGGTTTATGGCAATAATAGCATATGGGTCGATTGTCATTAGTCCGTGTTGGAGGAATAGGGTTAAATTGGCATTCACTTTTGAGTTCTTTTAGCAAGGTTTTAAGCTCATCTATTTCGCTTTTAATTGGAACAGGAGCACCTTTCTCCAGGTTTTTTGCATGGAAGGCGAATTCTTTTACCCTCTGTGGATTTAAACCGTAAAGATGTATTTTTAAATCAGCTCTTATACCCTCGAAGAGATGGCGTAGTATTTCTTTTTCGTTTTTCTCTAACTTGGAGCAAAGTTCTTTAATATCGATTATGAATTTGGTAACTGACTCATCATTGCGTTGTTTACGACTGCTTAATTGATTTTCAAGAGAAGATTCATATTCTGGAGTCATGAATGTCAACTTAAATTCATCCATGAAGATTGCCCATGTATAATCAGGCTTATTTACTTTAGGACTAATGTCCTGTCGAAACCAAGAAGCGGCAGTGTCTTCCAAGTAAAGACTAATGAAATTTAGTTTTTCCAGGTCTTTCCAACCATAAGCTCTTGCTAGTAGATCAAACTTTTGAATGAATTTCAAAGCATCATTTGAGAAGGAACCGTCAAACATCGGAATTTTCGGAACTCTAGGTGGATCAAGAAAGCTTTTTCGTTCACTCATGGCAAGTATGTTAAAGTTTCTATTCTGTAATAGATCGTAATCACTGTTGAGAGTTCAATGAAGAAAAGGACATTAACAACAAGTTATAGCACTAAAAAGAGAGGACTAAAGCACAAGATCCAAAGGACAGGTTAACCCGAGGTAATATTAGGCGATATTAATATTAATAGAAGGCGATTCTGCTTGTCGGGCTCTCCGTGGAACCTCCGAATGTAATGTTGATGATGGGGAACTGTTGAACACAGATTTTTGACTATTTTATTAAACACAATACAACTTAACTGATTCAACGTTGATGCCGTGGTTCAGACCATACTTACACACCGAATCAATTTCTTCCTCTACTTTTTATTCATTTCATTCTTCTTTTCTTCTTTCTCTTTCTCTTTCAAATTTTCGCAAACTCTGACTTTTTGAAGGTTCATGGTAGAAACTCAAGGTAATTAAAGAGACACTTTTTGTCACTTCGGAAAGGTCATATTTGCATTGGGGAGATCGCTATCTACTTTCTATTTATTTAGCCAAAGTAAACCTTGCTCATCACAATATTACTATTGATAAATACGTACCTTTATGCAACGTTTGCAAATCAAGACTCGATCCTTTGTCACTCTCAAACTTTACCAACACTTCATCACTCAACTAGTGATTGATCACAATATCTATGCATGTATTGCAGTTTCTTGGTTTTTCACCACATCATAACCATCAGTATCTAAGAACTCGTGGATTATACGTAATAAATATAAATATTTTTGGTTCAATTCCGAAAACAAAATATATTTTCTCGATGCAATACAATTTAATTAATTTCATTGATTCATACAGATATTCAAAGATGAAAATCTTCTGTATTGCGAATGAGATTTATCATCTTTAACAATCTTACAATGTAATACACATTAGTTTGTATCAATATTACAATGAAATTTTATCATTTTTTTCTAGATACCATCAAAGATTGACTTCTGTGCCAATGAATTTGGCAACTCTTAACAGGACTGTTGCAGATGACATATCATGATAGATGGCATAAATCATATAACATTTCAACTCGAAAATCGAACTGTTCATATTCTGTTCTCGTTGATCATTTTTCATTATCAGTCAAGATGTTGACAGAAATTCATAGAAACGAAATGATAAGCTTGAATCTGATACCAGAATAGTTATCCTTTACACATCTTGCATTATTGTCAATCATTAACAGGCGCATAAATTGACGGATAAATGGGAAAAGCGTTTGAGTTTATTTTTGACCTAAATTAACAATACAAATGACGATCTTTGCTATCTCGTAATGGTTTGAAACAAAAGATAGTCTGATGTATACAGTCGAGTGAAATGTTCATTACCATTATCTCATGTGATTGACAATAAAATGATATTTTTCTGGTTTATTAAAGATAAGAATGCAGCTTTTCTGTTTTGTGTTTAGTGACTTTTGTTGTTTAAGAGCATTGGGTTATCATTGACATTCATTCATTGTGATCCAAGTAATTATTCATCTCAATCACAATTGTACAGTTATTCCTATTTATGGCTTCCAATTTCACAGTTTCAATTTAATCGGTAAACTAACAATTATCTCATATAAGTCTGAAATTCCTAGATTATTGTTTCTTTCGTTAAATGTCAACCAATGTTTTCCCTCTGAATTTAACATCATTTTTCTGTTCAACGATGGACTTCAACAACGATTTCCAACTTGTTAATCCTGTGATGCAAAATGAAGCCTTGTTTTCAGGTAACAAATCAATTGACGTGGAAACATCAGCACATTTTCCAGCTCTTTCATTAGCCACTATCGAGTCCATGTTAACCTCGGATTCACCTCAAACACCTGTGAACCAACAATCGAATGGACTGGAAGATTTTTCTCACAAAAAAGACAGGTTACTCGAGAATGGTCAAATCAAGCTACTTACCCAAGCAATCGACTCATATTACAACTCAACTTTGGAACAATCTTCATTCAACTCCCCGCAAACGTCCATCTCAACTGATACTGTGGATTCGAATAGATTAAAAGACAATGACGCGACATCATTAACATCACAATGTTTAATTTTTTTGAAAAACCAAGTGACAGGAATTAGAAAGAAAAATTCTTCAAAGAATCAAACAAAGGATTGGCGAAACATTTGGAACTCTGATGTAGGGAAGAAGATATTGGCTGTTGAATTTTCACCAATGAATATAAAGTCAGAATTTTTATCAAAACAAACCGCGTTGGATGGATTTGAGTCATTTACTATCCAAGAAGCCGTCAATTCTGTACAAAGAATTGTACAGAATATAGTTGAAAAAGGAACCAGTGAGGATATTTTGAATCAATACAGAGCTGACTTGTACTCTGACCCACGTCCAGTTGATCTTGTACTTTCTTGTGAAAAGTCTCGAGCATTCAGGAAGATACATTTAAATGATAAAATTATATTGTTGAAAAACGCATTCTTGGATCTCAATGCATTAAAAATTATAACTACTTATAATGCTTCAATCAACGGTTGGTATGTAAGTTGAAAGTTATAATGATTTTACTTTACACAAAAAGCATTGATCATTCAATTCCCATTTCATTTTCAATATTGAAGTTGAGCCATTCAAAATGGTGAACATAAACAATATTTAATGATTTTCTTTTTTCCTTTCTTTTTGTTCAGTTTGGCCAAAAAATATGCTCAAGGGAAAAAATTCTCAAAAGAAGTCCAGATTTGTTTAAAAAGATTGTTCGCCTTATGGATAGTTTTCCAGATCGTTTTAGAAGTGACATCAATGTTTGTTCATTTCTTTTTTTGATTATCATCTTTAACGCTGATTTGCACAAATTGAAGTTCAGAAACCAAATAAAGTTAGTCTTTTTGTTGGTTATCATTTGTGACTTCATTTAATTTTCAACCTTTCATTTCTCCACCAGATCGGAACAGTACATTTACATTTATTTATTGAAACGATATTTGGTTTCAAGTATTCAACCAACGTGTGAAGCCTTAGAGTATTTTTACCAGCTGATGGCTACAATTGAAGAAATTCGGACGCTAAAGAGAGGAATGGAGTTAGACTTTGATGACTACGGGGCTGATGGCTCTTATGTACTCAGAAATCGAGTTGTTAGATTTATTGAGCTTGAAAGGTTTGTATGCACAAGTTTCGTGTGCAAGTTGTAATTAATGCCAATTTTTTCATACACTTCAGCATTCAATCGTGATCGAAGCTCGTTCTTGGCAATTATTTCAGGGATTGGTATGCTTTCTTCGGGTTTTAAGCTTAAGGTTATTTCAGTAATGTAATCCATTTTTACGATTGAATACACTTACAGTTGAAATCCAGGATTAACACGCTGTACTAGCCGACTTTTTGGGGACTCAAGTTTACAAGAAAATTATTCACCTTCGAGTTGAAATGATACAATAGTGTGTACAATTTGAGTATTAACTCAAGCTTTCATTAAAATGATCTTCTACAATCATTATATTAATAATTATAATGATAATAATAAATACAAACGGATTTGTCTGATTTGCTACCAGAAGAGCTTATTTCTACTCGTGCAAAAATCAAATCAAATCTGATGAAGTACAAAGTACAGTAACTCTTATTATATTAAAATGAAATTATACTTTGAATCGTCTCACATTTTTCTGGTTCTGCTCGTTTGTTCATGAATTGATGGAACCTCTAAATGAACTGAAAACTTGTAACCATGTTAAAGGTTACCTTGTTCAACTAAAAAAAATAATTTTCAAATGTAAGTGTATTGATTCAACGATCAAATGATACCAAGCTTCGCATGAATGCACATGAAGCTCAGATCGTTTCTAACGTTAGTCCAAAATTAACTAGCTTTAAAGTAAGTTTGAAGTGCGGAGTTGGAAAAAAATTAATTTATTTGCAATATTAACACCATTAAATGTAATCTTCTGAAAATATCCCTAATCAACTGAATCTCCATACAGATTAGCTATTTATTGCGGTTTGGTGATCTTTGGAATTGAGTTCTCAGGTTAAATTTGTGAATAATTGACCGCAGTAACACAATAGCCTCTCCAGTTAACACCTTCAATTGTGTCGTCCAGTTTATCTGGTTTACATTTGGGCTTAACTGGTAAACAAATTTCAAGGTAAACAAGAGAAAAGCTTTTAAATTAATAACATTTATCTCTCATTGTTTGTTTTCAGTTACTGGTATTAATATCACTTGTTTTTGAATACGATAGTAATGATCATGATAACTATCAACTACTGGTTCATTTGCACTTGCATTTATCAAAACATGTCAACTGGATTCCAATCTTAGTTATTTATTAATAAATACAACCAATTGTCAGTTTGTGCTTCCATTCAACTATAGACTAGTCATAACAAACAGTTTCATCTCTCAAGTCTCATAATGTTTGACTTCTTAAATCAATGGGTTGTAGTTGGTATAATAAGTGCCATCAGCTGGTTGTTCTTGTAAGTATCATTTGCTTTTTTATTGACAATTTTATGTTTAATTATAATTGAATTCCTTACTAAATTGACAGTTACATCAAGCAAAAACAATCGTACTGGGAAAAGCAAGGTGTTAAAGGGCCGAAACCCCTTTTCCTTCTTGGAAATGTTGGATTCTCAAAGCCAATAACGGATAACTTGATTGATAATTATACTAAATATGGGAAAGTTTACGGGTAAATATTCAATGAAAACAAGTTTCTTTCAATGTGCTGATTGTTATTGTTTGTATCCAGGACTTACCAAGGAACCAACCCTCATCTGGTTGTGGGTGAACCCGAACTTCTCCGTCAAATTTGTGTCAAAGATTTTCACATTTTCCCTCAAGGATTTGAGCAAAACTATCTTGGTCCAGTTGAACGCAATTTTTTGACTGCTTTATATGGAGAGAAATGGAAGCGTATGAGGAGCACGCTGTCGCCTACTTTTACCACTGGAAAGATGAAGAAAATGTTTGACTTGATTAAAATTTGTAATCAAGAAGCTCAAAAAGAACTGGTTAAATTGACTTCTTCAAAGGATCCCGATTTTGACCCCAAATATTTCTGGGGTCGATACAATTTGGATGTCATCACAAAGTGCTGTTTTGCTACGAGTTTTGATGTTTACAACAGTTCAGATGATGAAATATTACGACATTTCGTGGAAGTATTTGAGCCCAATAAGCTTAAAATTTTCATTCTGTTGACGGCGCCTAAATGGGTCTCTAGGATGATGAAAATAAGTGGAAGTTCAACCGAGAGTCTGGATTATCTCAAACAATTGACACTACCAATAATTGAACAGCGTAAAAAAGGAAACTTCAAAGGGAATGATTTTCTTCAACTATTGATCGACGCTGAAGTTGTGAGTAAAGAAGGGGAAGAGCTCAAAGGCGAAGCTAAAAAATTGTCTCCAGATGAAATTGTTAGCTCAGCTGTTATCTTTCTCATAGCTGGATATGAAACGACATCAACCCTGTTGACTTGGGCCTGTTATAGACTCGCTACCAATCCAGATATTCAAGAAAAGCTGTATCAAGAGGTTTCACAGGCCAACATTGAAGATTATGAAGTTTTACAAGATCTTCCCTACTTGGATGCTGTTATATCGGAAACTCTAAGAATTGATTCTCCAATTTTATTATTTCAACGTGTTCCTCATTCTGATTATATTTTACCAGGTACAGATATTAAGATACAAAAAGGAACCGTAGTTACTATACCAGTTTATGCTATGCACCATGATCCAGAAAATTATCCTGAACCAGAAGTTTTTGACCCAAATAGATTTTTGGAAGGTTCGCCGAAACCTTTTACATTCTTACCGTTTGGTGCTGGACCTCGAACCTGTATCGGAATGAGGTTTGCTTTGATAAATGCGAAGCTTTCACTGGCATCGTTGGTTCGAAACTATCAGCTGTTTCCTAATGACAAGACTCCAAGTAAAATTGAACACGTAATAGGAGCAGTCATAAAGACAGCCAAGACGTTGACATTGGGAATCAAACCAAGATGTTGAATATTGCCAATCATATACAGTTTGGTAATGTTTTGTGTAAAATATATGTTTTCATAGCATAAAATGCAAACTAATGAATGTTTATTAATTCTCATTACTATCAATCTTGAAAATTTTAAAACTTCCAATGAAACACAATATACAATGTAGACGCAATATGGAGCACAGTTTTCATCAAAAATTTTTAAATGTTTGACCCTCCAACTAATCAAAGAGTAAGGTAGTCTTTACTCTTTCACTGTAAATCAAAATTCCCCAAATTTTAATAAATCAAACATCTTAATAATTCAAAGATTGGTTAATTATTTTGGTTTAAGATTTTTAATTAAGTGAGCAAGCTAATGATTTGCATTTTAGCTACAAAACAGGAAATTCTTAAGCAGAAACTAGAAAACTTGCATTAAAACGGTGTTCACTAAAAAACCAAAATTAACCAAAACACCAAAAAATGCCAAAATTAACCAAAATTCACATAAATTGACCAAAATCACACTATTTCGACAAAAATAGACAAAATATTTCCATCAAACGGCCAAAATTTACCAAAAAAAGTAAGTGTAAAAAATCTGACTTTCGAGTTAAGGGTTGGGACTTTGTGCGTTTGTAGGGGCATGAAAACTGAGTCCATTAGGGACATTTAAAAAATCCTCCGATCTACAGTTTTCGCGATAATCGAGGCCAAAGTCGAAACTTTGATCACCTTTTATTCAATTAGAGTCATTAGAGTGGACTAATTGTTCAAACTGTAAAATTTAATTATTTCCCCCTTTAGTTCACATAGATGTCAGCACTCCAAAAAAACAATAAACTCGAGGATTGACTGTAACTTCAGGCTTATAAGCTTGGAACTTGAAAGTCGAAACTTGTTTTCGTTCAATAATCTGTTACATTGTTAAGATCCAAAACCTTTTATACGTTATTATCAAGGCAAGGCAAATGCATAAAAAACCTAGGTTAAAAGGTTTAGGTGTTTTTTATGACAAATACCTAAAGCTTCATAAAAAACAAAAAACTAAATCACTGATAAAGGAAAAGGAAATATCAGATTGTTTAAGGCATGATTTTTGAGTTAAATTGAATTGAATTAAGTATAAGCATCTGTGTATTGCTTTGTTCTATTAAATTAAATTTTTGTGTTAATTTTGACTTGAGTTTTACCCTAAAAATGACCAGCGAATTACAAATTTTGTGGCATAAATATATTCGTCAATTTGGTCAAGATTTTTGTGTTGAAAATGAAAAGTTCAAGTGCAACAAATGTGACATTTTTCTCAACGTAACCAGGCGATCACAAATTGACCAACATATTAAAACTAAAAAACATATTGACTCCAGCCAAATCATGGCATTCAATGATCATGATAATGAAGGTAATGAAGTGGTGAATGAAATTCAAGGCGAGTTCAATGGGGTCTCTTCAATGCTTTTGTCAAAGCTGATATTCAATTGACTAAGCTTGAAAATGATGAGCTCAAAAACTTTCCCCTCAAATATACAAATATTTAATTGCCGTCTGAACGAACTCTTTGAAGGATGCTTTTACCTGAATATAAAAAGGCCTTAAGTGACATAAGATCGCATATTGGTTCAAACAATATTTGGATATCAATTGATGAAACTTGTGATATTGCCGGTCGTAGTGTTGTTAATGTCATTGTTGGTGTATTAGATGGCTTACCGGATAAAAACCAATATTAATTCATGTTGAATATACGCAACCTCCAAATCATTCAATCATTGCTCAGGTTTTTGAAAATGCTTTGTCAAAGCTCTGGCCTGATGGTAAGCATTATGAAAGAGTTCTTCTTTTTGTTACTGATGGAGCAAATTATATGAAGAAAGCAGCTAAAGCTTTAAAAATATTTATCCTAAAATGCTTCATAAAACTTGTATTATTCATGGTTTGCATCGAGTTTGTGAGACAATAAGAAATTTGTTTCAATCTGTTGATAATTTAATTACTGAAGGTAAAAGAGTATTCCGAAAAGCTCCGAAATGAATCCAACTTTTGAAACAATTGAATTCAAATTTGCCAATTCCTCCTCAGCCAACGATTACAAGATGGGGAACATGGTTAGAAGCTTCTGTTTATTATTATAATTATTTTTCTGAATTCAAAATTATTGTCAATGCATTAGACTCCAATGAAGCTGCATCTATCGTAAGACTAAAGCAAATTTTAGATGAACCGTCAATAATTTCTGACTTAGCCAGACTCAATAACAATTGTTGATAAATTGAAATTTTTACAAACAAGTAATCTTTCTATTGAAGATCAATTGAATTCATTTTCTGAAATTAAATTAAAATTTAGTAATCTTCATGGTAGTTTCATAAAAGAAATCATAGAAAAATTTGCAACTGTTATTAACAAAAATACCGATTTGAAACAGATTGAAAAAATTTCTAAAATTGTTAATACGTTGGATCCGATGCAGTTGGATGAAATTGAATATGATCCAGTTCAATTGAATTCATTTAAATTTGCTCCATTGAGTAATTCAGATATCGAAAGAACTTTTTTTCAATAAAAAACTATCCTCGGACCAAACAGATTGAGCTTTACTGACGAAAACCTGAAAATGTATTTGATAATCCATTACAATAAGAAATAAATAACAATTATGAATTTGCTATAAACAATTGACTTATGAACATATTTGTCATAAAAATTCACCTATTTTTTCACATTAAAAATGTCATTAAAACCAGTTAAATTTATCTAATCATGCCTTGCCTTGGTTATTATACTCAACTGTCATGTTGTATTTTGAGATAATGTTATGATAAATAAGGTTGACAAACAAGGTTTAGAGAACAACAAATCACATGCAATATTGTTATAATAGAGGGTTTGAAGTTTTGATTGGGAATTTTAATGTTTCCATTGGTTTCATTGTTTCCAGTAGTGTTTCCCGATCAGAGATGTGAGATTTATCCTAATTGACGATAATTATCGATATTTTGCTCGCCCATTAAAACCAATGTTAAATTTCGATAAAAATGTAGATAAATATCGATAATTATCGATATTTGGGCCAAATCTTAATATCTATATCGAAAAAAATTGATATCGCACATCACGTATTCCCGATTCAGTAGGGGTTAGGGTTGAGCTAACGAAAGTGGAGATTCTTTACATAGTCGCCCTCTAACAATAAATTAAAGTACCATTAGTATCGAACTTTTTTTGTCGCTAGAAACTGAACATGCTCGAGATGGCGACACTTCAAAATCAACTTAACTCTGATCCGTTTTTGTTAACTAACCCTAACACCTACTGTATTGAAGAAAGTATCGTTAAAAAGTAGGTAAGGCTGTAGAAGTAACCGTCGGCTGACTCTCGCCTTCTTACTTACGGCTTATGTCCAGCTTAGCTTCGAAAAAAAGGAAACCATTTAAGCGGCATTTTAGAAAAGATGTTTGGGGATAACACAATTAATACCAATAAAAGTAATAAGTAAGGTAGAAAGGTAAAAGTAATAATAAATGTCGAAGATTAGCACAAGATGAATTTAATCAAAGATCACAGTTGAAAGGATTATTTTGGAGATGTTCAAGGCTAGTTTGAAAGTTAATTCCTGTTTGATTGGCAGTATGATAAATTGATTTGTATACAAATCCAATGACATGGTCAGAACTATTAACTCTATTCGAGAACTTCGGCATATTTTCTTTTAAGGCTCGCCATTTTCTCTATATGTTCTAAGTGTGAACATTTTGATCAAAAGGATTAAGAAAATTTTCCGAATGGTCAACAGTTCCATGTTTATAACCATCCAGCCGCAGATTTTGATAGCTGCTCCAACCATTTGCATAAATTGTCGTCCCGGAATAATATGGCGATAAATCAAATAAAGAGTTTTTCATCTCTCTTTTCCCCAAAACAGCTTCCTCTTTTCAGCAAAACATAATTTTGACTCTCTGTCGATTCCACCAAATACCCAGATTTGCTTATTTGGTCATTATTTAATCAGCCGATTATATTTTCTTTTTAAAACATTGTTTCTTCAATTTCCACTGCATCTTCCAGGACCTCCGATTCTTATTGGGTTTTTATTAATAATATTGAAGCAAACCTGAAAAATTCAATAAGGAAAAAATTAGAATTATCTAATTTCAAATTTAATCAATTACTTACCATTCGAAGCATTTGATAATGAGAATGGACAGTTTTCTTATTTAGTCCTAAATGTTATGTAAGGGTTAAGGGTTAAAGATTAATTAATTAAGCATAATTATTAAGAAAATAATCATAAATACAGGCATGAAACTTTGTTTACAGGTAGATCCATGCCACATGTTACAGAAAAATAAAGGCAAAGTTTGTGCACATGCGCCATAGTGCTATAGTTTTTATTCCAGAACATAATTTTCTAACGTTATGATGAATATTTAACGTGCACATTTTGATATTTCATCTTTTCCTCCACCTCAGTTACCTCTTCCACCACCTCCTGCGCCTCAATTTTCCATACATGGAGCAACAAAGCCCACATTTCTGACCAACCCGCAACTTGTAATCATCCGTGCACTCTGAAGTGAACTATCTACTCCTTACACTTCTAATTTAAGTAACACCATCTTTACACGCAAAGTGGTCTGGCTGCATATTTCCATGATGGGAGGACTAGATTCTTTGGAAATAAGTTTAACCGATCGCCAACCGAGGACACCATCATTTCTCTATCATGATCTATGAAATTTTAGTTGAGTAAAAGTTACATTATTTGATTTATTCCTCTTTTAGAAATACAGTCTTTTGTTAACAATTATAAGGCAAAAAATGGCACCCACGCGGGGATAATCTGGTTCTAATCGAGGATTAGGAATCTCAATCAATTTAAAGTTAAGTAAAAATTTTATAGTATTTTAAAGAAGTATCCTGATATTTCATCACCTCATTCCAGGCATTAAGACAATTGCTGCATAATATCGAGAAGACTGGATCCATTGCAGACAACATGGTTGGAGTTGTTAGACGAAAGCCAATAAAGTACCGAATTATGTATTTCTAAAGAAATGAGTTAAATTTATTGCATTCTTAAATTATATAATATTTATTGAATCATTATTTTGAATAAAATTTCATGTAGACATGCAGATTCAAAGATCTATTTTTTCAAACATTAATTCAATTAGTTCAAAAACAATATCATCCAAAGTTTTGTCACCACTGAAGCCAGGGAAGGGAATTTTAGCAAAAATTGCATCTAAAGTGGTTGCGATGAACTCTTTAGGATCCGAAACTGGTATTTATCATGAAAAAGGTAGAATTAATTAGTCCATCTAATGCATTATTACACAATTAAATATAATATAATATTTACCTTTAACATCAGCAAGACTGTTGAGCCAAGTATTAAAAGCTTGATCAAGAGTCTCAGAAGTAATGTTATCTATTGAAAACCAAATATAAAATAATATTAAATAAGAAATTAAAATAATTTTCATAAAACAATTTACTTACAATCAGAATGGGCTTTTGTGATGAGCGCAGTCATTTTTTCGACAATCTCTTTTTCGAGTTCATTTTTTGGGTACAAACCTGTTTATTTTTAGATTAATAAGTAAACATGAAATTAAAATAAGATTCAACTGAAATTAATTTTTATACTTACTTGGAATTGGCAATTTATCGAAGTACTTGCGAACAATCAGTCCCAGATTTTCAACAACAGATTTATTTCTAGCTAAGCCTAAAGATGTCATTAGTTAATGTTTTATTATAATAATGAAATCAAATTCAAATCAGATGAAAATATTTACCTTCGACGTCAATAAGAGCAAAGTACTTTTCAGCATTTTCCTTGGCACTGATATCAGGATTCCATGCTGATACATGATAATAATTCAAACATAAAGGTAAGCATTCGTGATTGAACAAAAAAGTCAATAATTAACTCACCAGGAACCATATTGTTGTCAAAAGGTTTTGAGAGAAGAGCCAAAAGATTGGATCGAAGTGAAGCTTTTGGATCCCAACCTGATAATAACCAACGAGTAAATTGATATTATAATTTAAAGTTTTTAAATATTATTAAGAAAACCTTTAATTATTAACTAACCAGGAATCTTTTGTTCCCATTCATTAATTTGTTTCCTGTTATATTCGGCAGCGGCTTTAGCAAGTGGAGTTGGTTCTGTAAAAACAGTAAAAAATTAACAAAACTGGGCTAAGATTAGGTTAGGAAAAGCCTTACCTTTAGTTGGAGCAGCAGTGATGGCTGAGAGACAAAAGATGGCACTTAAAACGATCAAGAACTTCATTTTACTTTTATTTTAGTTGGATTATTGGAATCACACAAGTTTCAATGAACAAACAAAACTGAATAAAAACTATTCGAGTTTTACACGCTTTTATATTATTCGATAGAGATCAAGAGAGCTATAATTAACTAATTTATAAAAACAAAATTAACAATATTATCATGATATTTGATAGAAACAATGAAATCTTATTTCTCTTTAAAAATCGCCTCTTCATCGATCTCATGATAAACTTACTTTTCAGACACAAAAATAAATTCCAATTCATTGTTTCGATTGGTTCATCTGATTTATCTGATTTCATCTAATTGATTTCAATAAGTACTCATCAATTCCTTTGAAATGCCTGTACTAGCACTATTCTGTAGCACCTAACAGACAAAATCAGTTTTTAATGAAATCAGATAAGTAAGATTTCAGAGATTTCCCTGTTTACATCAAAAACTATGCTTTTTATTGTTAATTTTGTTTTGATTAATCAGTTAATTAAATCTTTCTCCATCTTCACTAAAAAATCTATTTTCTTTCTAGAACCTTTCGCGCTCTTCTATTTCGAAACGAAAATGTCTGAGCCTTCGATGAAATCTAATGATTAATCAAATGATGATTGTAGGTACCACTGTTCTCGGAATTTTGAGGTTAAAAGCCAATGGTCAAAATCAAGAGAACTCGAAAAGTAAATTGGAAAAGGTGTTCAATCGATGATATGTACCAATAACTTTTTATGGACAAATAATTTCTCTTCTTGACCATTGACCTGATCTCGCCTCTCTATCTGTTTTAATTTATGAAAAATATATTTAAAGAAAAAAATATCACATAAGAAATAGGTGCTATTAGAAGGCTATTTGCGAACAAAATCAATTAGAAAAAATAATATTTGAAAAAAAAATTTCCAATCCAGAAATACATAAAAAAATGAAATGAAACGTAAAGAACTTGAATACTGAAATGACTCAAGGATGAGTGCCAAAAACTTTGAATTTCGAGTTAAGAGTTACGCCTTTATGGATTCGTAGTGACATAAAAAGAGTGCATTATTGCTGTTTAAAAATTCTCAAAGTTGGAAGCAGATTTTTACATGGAACTCATTTCACTTATGTTTTGTTTTGATGGGTAACTAGTAAGTGCACTTATTTTCGTTAAATAAAATTTTCTGTTTCTGTACAACAGATCATTTTGATTTGCAGTTAAACCTTACGCTTTCTGTGACCGTAAGAGTTAGAGATCTGAAACTTTATTACTTGTTGTTGTTACACCTCAACAATCGAACAATCTTTTCAATTTATCGAAAGTTCTATTGATTTTGGACATTGGTCTGAAAACTTCAAACCCAAACTTATAAACTCTCATTTCAGGTTTCAATTGCAGACTGATTCATCTGACTTTTCTCATTTACTGAGAAAAACTCATTTGTTAATATCTAGTACAGGCAATTCAAAAGAATCGGTAATGAAACAATGAATTTAAAATGAGTGCAGATAAACGTAAAAGCAAATAATGAAATTATCAGATGACAAATTAAATTGTTTTCGATGGATTTCTTCGAATTTTGTGATCAACTCTGATACGAAAAGTCCTCTTTTGGTGAAATCAGATAAAATAAAGGGAAAAAAGAGTGTTAGTCACACAGAATTGCCTTATGAGCACAAGAACAGCTAAATTATTTTGGTAAATGTGGGTCTGTTGCACTGATTCAAGTCTTTTCACTTATTCTTGACAAAATATCTCTTTCAAAAAATTCTATGAAAAATCGCTCATTATCATCATTGAAATTAAATGGATTAAAATCATCATTTTTTGATCAAGCATTAGATTTTATTATGAATCTTGATACATTGAAATTTTAGATAATTTAAGAAGCTGCAAAAAAGCTAAAGTATTGAATGCATGACCTGAAAGTCATGAGGAATTACATGTCCGAAAGAAGTCAGAGGTTAATCAGAATTCAGGTTACTGAGTTACGTTTAAACAGGATGAGCGAAAGAATCCAGAATCTGTATTTTGTAGCATTGTGTTTATGGGTTTCAACTGCATGTGTTTAAACTTTTTTTGTTATTCAGATTGATGCTTTATTGTTGGATAAATAGTAATAATAAGTGTAAAACTGTCTTTCGAGTAAAGACTTGGAAGAGTTTGGTGAAAAATCTATCGCCGCAACTGTACAAAAAGAGACCAAAGTCTAAAATTTGCGCTTAAAAAGTGTTGCCAAAAAATCCGAACGAATCAAGCCCAAAGTTGAAATTTCCATCGCTTTTTGTACAATTATGGAATCGGATTTTTTCATGAAACTCATTTTCCTGATATAACTTTTGATGTCCACCAGAAAATGAACTTATTTTGTTAAATAAAATTCTCTGTTTCTGCATAAGAGATCAGTTCGATTCTCAGTTAAACTTCAGCCATTCTGTGACCCTAAAAGAAGAGAAATTATTTGTCCATAAAAAGTTATTGATACATATCATCGATTGAACACTTTTTCGAATTTACTTTCGAGTTCTCTTGATTTTGACCATTGGTTTTAACCTCAAAATTCCGAGAACAGTGGTACCTACAATCATCATTTGATTAATCATTAGATTTCATCGAAGGCTCAGACATTTTCGTTTCGAAATAGAAGAGCGCGAAAGGTTCTAGAAAGAAAATAGATTTTTTAGTGAAGATGGAGAAAGATTTAATTAACTGATTAATCAAAACAAAATTAACAATAAAAACATAGTTTTTGATGTAAACAGGGAAATCTCTATAATCTTACTTATCTGTTTTCATTAAAAACTGATTTTGTCTGTTAGTTGCTACAGAATAGTGCTAGTACAGGCATTTCAAAGGAATTGATGAGTACTTATTGAAATCAATTGGATGAAATCAGATAAATCAGATGAACCAATCGAAACAATGAATTGGAATTTATTTTTGTGTCTGAAAAGTAAGTTTATCATGAGATCGATGAAGAGGCGATTTTTAAAGAGAAATAAGATTTCATTGTTTCTATCAAATATCATGATAATATTGTTAATTTTGTTGTTATGAATTAGTTAATTATAGCTCTCTTGATCTTTATCGAATAATATAAAAGCGTGCAAAACTCGAATAGTTTTTATTCAGTTTTGTATTTTCATTGAAAATTGAGTGATTCCAATAATCCAACTAAAATAAAAGTAAAATGAAGTTCTTGATCCTTTTAAGTGCCATCTTTTGTCTCTCAGCCATCACTGCTGCTCCAACTAAAGGTAAGGCTTTTCCTAACCTAATCTTAACCCAGTCTTGTTAATTTTTTACTGTTTTTACAGAACCAACTCCACTTGCTAAAGCCGCTGCCGAATATAATAGGAAACAAATTAATGAATGGGAAAAAAAGATTCCTGGTTAGTTAATAATTAAAGGTTTTCTTAATAATATTTAAAAACTTTAAATGATAATATCAATTCACTCGTTGGTTATTATCAGGTTGGGATCCAAAAGCTTCACTTCGATCAAATCTTTTAGCTCTTCTCTCAAAACCTTTTGACAACAATATGGTTCCTGGTGAGTTTATTATTGACTTTTTTGTTCAATCACGAATGCTTACCTTTATGTTTGAATTATTATCATGTATCAGCATGGAATCCTGATATCAGTGCCAAGGAAAATGCTGAAAAGTACTTTGCTCTTATTGACGTCGAAGGTAAATATTTTCATCTGATTCAGATTTGATTTTATTATTAAAACATTACTTAATGATATCTTTAGGCTTAGCTAGAAATAAATCTGTTGTTGAAAATCTGGGACTGATTGTTCGCAAGTACTTCGATAAATTGCCAATTCCAAGTAAGTATAAAGATTAATTTCAGTTGAATCTTATTTTAATTTCATGTTTACTTATTAATCTAAAAATAAACAGGTTTGTACCCAAAAAATGAACTGGAAAAAGAGATTGTCGAGAAAATGACTGCACTCATCACAAAAGTCAATTCTGATCGTAAGTAAATTGTTTTATGAAAATTATTTTAATTGCTTTATTAATTTTATTTTATTATAATTGGTTTCCAATAGATAACATTACCTCTGAGACTCTTGATCAAGCTTTTAATACTTGGCTCAACAGTCTTGCTGATGTTAAAGGTAAATATTATATTATATTTAATTGTGTAATAATGCATTAGATGTACTAATTAATTATGCCTTTTTCATGATCAATACCAGTTTCGGATCCTAAAGACTTCATCAAAAGCACTTTAGATGCAATTTTTGCTAAAATTCCCTTCCCTGGCTTCAGTGGTGACAAAACTTTGGATGATATTGTTTTTGAACTAATTGAATTAATGTTTGAAAAAATAGATCTTTGAATCTGCATGTCTACATGAAATTTTATTCAAAATAATGCTTCAATAAATATTATATAATTTAAGCATACAATAAATTAAACTCATTTCTTTAGAAATACATAATTCGGTACTTTATAAGCCATTTTACTTTTCAATTAAGTTATGTTGATTACTTTTATTAGAATGATTGTGTTGTTCCATTTCTACAAGTACCAATATGAATCTTGAAACAGGAAACACGAGGACATAAAAGTGACTTCAAATGAAAGCGAATGTGAAACTGACAAAATGGAAAATGTTTTGGATAGGTTAAATTATTGTAACAAAAAAACTCATAAGGCCGTTTTCACGAAAACTACCCTGAATATAAAAAATCATCTACACCATACTGTTTTTCATGTCATTTTACATTGAAAAATCTATTTCTTAGTTCTTCTAACCTCCTTACTCCAGATTCAGTTCTCAAGATTATCATTCTCTCTGCAACTTTTCAAAATCTCATTCTAGCTTTGACTTCCCTTTAAAAACCCGTTTTGTAGACTTTTTAATCTGTCAATTTTCACTTGTTATTTTTTAAGACAAAACCTTTTCAGCTAAAAATTCAATGATCATAGATTCAATTGAAATTCATGAATCTTACGTCCAAGACAGGAGAGTTGATGAAATTAGATCTTATTCAAATAAAATAAAGATTCGTAAAAATGTCTACAATGATCAAGTAAATGAAAATCACTATAATTGAAAAATGAAGAGAGGATCTTTTCTAATGGCGTTCAATGAGAATCATTTATCGACTGAATTATAATACAAAATAAGGACTTTTTAATGTTAATAATAAGTTACAAAATATGATAAAATTTGGTAGATCAACTTTCTTTGGCAAATGAAAGGAAAACTTGTTCTAATGTTGTTCCAGTTAAAGTGAAATCTTCAATCATTAGTGAACTTTTTCCTTGTTCCAATGCTCGTAGCATTTCACCCCATCGAGCTGAAGCATTCTTAACATGGTAATGAAGAATAGTTTGATGAAAATCACGTAATATTGCACTTGGAAACTTTTCTTGGATAAATCTTTGGATTCTCTCAACTTCGCCATCTTTTTTCAAGGCTTCTTGATTTATTTTGATAACCAAAGTGTATCCTTGACCGAATTTTTGTTTCAAATGTTGAGCTGAACCTAAATATTAAAATAAAATCGGTTAATTACAAGTGAATAATGGTTAAAAAGAATGTCCATTGATAAAGATTCTATATTTACCTAAACATTTAAAGTTTCCTCTTGCCATTATACCAATCCTAGAGCATAAAGCTTCACATTCATCCATAGAGTGACTAGTTAATACTATTGATGAGCCACTTGTATCACGTAGATGCATTAATGTGGACCAAATCTTACGTCTTGATGCCGGATCAACACCAGTAGTAGGTTCATCCAGAAACATAACCTTAGGTTTAGCTATAGCAGCAATTGCTAATGATAATTTCCTCTTATTACCGCCACTTAAATTTTCGTTACAGGTTTTTGTGAATTGTGTTAAATCAGTTGATGTTATTATATAGTTGACATTTTCTTTGACTTTATTTTCAGGCATTCCTGTAATTAAATCGAAATGAAATAAATAAATAGATATGGTAATAATAAATGCATGAGTGAATTATGAAACTTACCTCTGATACGAGCAAATAATGTTAAAGTTTCTAGAGGCGTCAGTTTGTCAAGCAAAGCGTCAAATTGTGGACAGTAACTTATAGACTGTTGGAAATTCAATAAATCTTTCCTCAATGAATATGATTCAACAAAAGCATCGCCTTGAGTGACCATCAAATCACCAGTTAACATTCGGAATGCTGTCGTTTTACCAGCTCCATTGACACCAAGTAATCCAAAACATTCCGCTTTGTGAACAGCAAAACTAATTTTATCGACTGCTCTGAATGAACCAAAGTCTTTACTCAATTCACTGACAATCAGAGCTTCAGTGTTGACTCTGCCTAATTTTATTAATTGGGCAACGCGATATTTTTCAGAAGTAACATCATCGCCTTCAACTTTACCTTGAGATTGAGGTGAAGATGATAACCTTTTCCGTATTGAATCATACCAATAGTTGAAACGATGTAAATTAGTGTCTAATAAGATTAGAATGAGTATGTATAAAACTGAATCCAGACAAAGTATTGCAATTTCAGGTAGAACTCCATCGTTTTTCCACGCAAATGGTTCATACTTTTTATATTTTGAATTTTTATCACAACAGATAGGACGAGACACTAAATTACCAGGATTACAAGCATTGTATTTACGACATTCTTTGATTAAAGTTACTTGTGAATAAACTTTGGACAAACCAAAGGACATGGCAAAAGGTGGAAAAAGATCTCCAAGAAATACATGAAGTGATTTAATTTTTTTTGTAGCAACAAAAATTGCAGCTAACCCTGAACCAATATGAGTACCAATCAGTGAAATGATAATTAATAATGAAAATCCACGAGCAGGTTCTATCGGCAGAAATGAGAATGAATAAAACAATGGAATCGATGCCAAACCATAAAGTATCATAAGTATGAAAACAGAAACTGTAATAAAGAAAAAATGTTAATACGAATGTGGATAAACTCTTAAATTTCAAAATTGTTAATTGACAGCTTAACTTACAAAATACTTCATTGCTTGTGAAAATAAAGCGATCAATTATAGTGATTCCTAAAATCATCATTATTGACACAATAATATGGTAAGAAAAGTCGAAGATAATGTGACTGAACCAAAAGATTGGAGCTTTAATACCACTCATTTTTTGAATCAAATTAGCCTGTGAAATCAAAAAGAAAATTACTCATTATTAATTATATTTCTTGATTGTTTGTAGCAGTCTTTCACAAATATAAACACAATGATATTTCTCATGAATGAAAGAACCATTAGATGGCTCTGTTTGAGGATTAAAATCAAGAGTTAGCTATTTCAATGCAGGTAATCTTACTGCACTCTGAATAAAGTTATTGAGGTGATTTACAAGAGGTGAGCTTCAGAATAAAATGACATTAAAATGTCAAGTGCTTAAAGCTCATTTGCATCAAAAACAATATATGCAAGCGTCTAAAGATTTAGACTGCTTTTTAAAATGGCATTAAAGTAAGTTATATTTTGTGATTTACTGCTTCAATTTACCACGAAATCTCTTCATCTTTCATTTCTTACCTTTTTTGCAGATTCAGTGGATGGAAAGAGGAAATATGATACAGCAATAAAACTGAAAGCGATTGGTGAAAATAATGCTGACAAAATACGAGATACCATGGAGAGTATTTGTGGCTGTTTACCGCCTCGATTAGGCATTGGGAGATATGTCGTAACTACTTTTGAGTTCGATCTAGCTTCGTCACTCATTCGAATCAAAGTATTGGTCCAGGCGTCAAGACTCAATGGAAAAGATATTGATGCTTTTGGATTGTACCAGATAGTGAAGCCTTTTAGACTTTTCGGGTCTTCAATTATGCCGATAATGTTTTCTCTCATAAATTGTTCTCCAGTTTGTTTACTTGTTTTCATGTAATCATCCATTGACAAAGAAGATTGAATTTCAACGATTTCAATTCCCTCTTCTTTCATGATGATACGATACGCTTCAATGAAAGGGTCACTTTTGTTGGAAGAAGCTCGGATAACTGCTTTAGCATTTTCACCATAAATCGATTTCAAATTCAGATCAATTGGATACGGATAATCATCAAATGAATCAATAATGTAAGATTTTACGTTTCTCGTCGCCATAAATGTTAGTAATATGACCAGAACTGGTAGGATAATGGTGAATCCAATGGTTTTGTAATGTCTTTTAATGTAATGTACACGTTTCATTACCAAACCTCTGAGTCTTTGAAAAGTCAATGCAAATCCTGTCAATTTTGTGTAGTCAAGTATCTTATTAATTTCAAATAATCTATCTTCCATCTGAATATTTGTTTGTCTTTTTTCATTATCTTCTTCAGCAACCTTCAGGAAAACATCTTCAAGAGTTGTAACGGAAATGCCATATGAAGTGATACCAAGAGTTGACAAATTGTTATCAAGATAATCACATAAGCTAATCAAAGATGAAGTTGACTTTTTGTCCGATCCATCAGAATCCAGGCTAAGTTGGTAGATAACTTCTTCACTACTCTCACTAGTCACAAAAGCATTGGGAAAGTGTATTCGTATTTGATGATCTAAGCGATTAAGCTCAAATGAATTAGTATCTTTGGCTATTCTAATTGAGTTTCCAGCTCCAAATTGACGTTTCAAAAACATCGAACTTCCAGAACACTTGATTTTACCGGAAGCCATAATAATAATACGATCTCCTAAAGCATCAGCTTCCTCCATAAAATGAGTTGTCAGTAAAATGGACAGATCTTTTCTCAATTCCAGTAAAAGATTCCATAACTGTCGTCGAGATTCTGGATCAAGACCTGATGTTGGTTCATCAAGAATCAATGTTTCCGAGGCAGTTGTTAGTGCCAAAGCCAATTGAAGACGACGTCTCATACCACCCGATAAATTGGAAGCCAGTGTATTAGCTTTATCTGTCAAGTTGACTCGCTTTATATTCAATGGTATTATATCTTTTTTTATTTGTGGACTTAAGCCTCGTAAACCAGTAACAAGCTCAAGATTTTCTGTAACTGTGAGTTCTTCAAACAACAAATTAGACTGAGGACACAAAGCAAGACGACGGCGAGCTGCAGCAGTATCCTGATGAACATCTATACCATGAACCAAAATTTTACCCGATGTAGGCGGAATTAATCCTGTTATCATTGACATTGTCGTCGTTTTACCAGCTCCATTGTGACCAAGAAGAGCAGTTATTTGACCTTTATAAATATTCATATCAAGTCCATTTACAGCAAACTTTTTATTGCCCATTGACCCAAACGCTTTATACAAATTGGTGCATTGAATATTGGTTTTTAGATCACTTGGCTCTGCTTCATTTTTATCAGCATTGGCATTGATTTCATCCAAGTTGTACGATGGTGCCATGTCACCAAGGGTTCCGTTATTTGTTGATTTTCTTAAGAATCGTGAAACTGGAAAATACCATGGCTTAGGTGTTCCAGTTTGCCAAGGCCACACAGCATCCAAGTACCAAAGGAAGACAAGGTAGGCTAACCATGCAAGAATGGCTGTCAAATAGATTGATCGGAAACTGATACTATCAGCAACATCGAGTGATGAGAACAAATCTGAGAAAGAAACTTTTTTCTTTCCACCAAAGTAAAACATATCGTAAATTGAAAAATGAATTTGACCTTCGGGAAGCAAACATGACCATATTTTTGGCGAAATCCAGAGAAAATTAAATTTACCTCTTTTAGCTTCAAATGCTAAATAAGATAGTCCAGAACGGCCTACCGTTACAATCAAAACACCGATTGTCGGGCGAGTCAATATCGTTGAAAATGTAAATGTAAAAAGAATATTGGCCACAGAAAGGAAGGAATAATTGAACCAAAATACACCTCCATTCCAACCAGGATACGGATTCTTATTAGAAATGGAATACAATATTGTAATGGCAGATGCATGGAAAATACTCAAAGATAAATAATCGATAAAGTGAGAAATCCAATAAATGACATCAGATAATCCCATAATTCTTAGTAATTCCTTTGAATTTGTTGCTTTCTCTTGTATAATACGATGAGCTATAATTGTAGATACATAGAGAAAGCCAGTTTGGAGAAAAGTATAAGCCTGATAAAAGTCCAAAGCATTTGGTGATCTACCTGGGTCTGGAGTTGGATCACCATTTTTATGATTTACATAATTTTGCTCACTACTTGGATCACCTTCATCAAACAATTTGTTGGTATAGTGATAACTGAAACTGTTATACGTAAGGTTTTCTCCATTTGGATAACTCGCCAATATTATGTTAAGTATTGACTGGGGGCTCACATATGATTGATAGGATGGTTTAATCAGACGTTTAGACCAAGGTCCAGGATATACTAATCTTCCAGTCCCAATCGTGTAATTAGCTATACCTTTATCTAGATCAAGTTCATGGATAAAAAGAGCTGGACTTGTCGTATAGATGTTATCAATTGAGTCACCCCAGTCTTTAATCACGTCATATTCACTTTGTTTAGCAACTGTACGCAAGCCACATTTTGAGACAGCTGGACTCAGAAAGTCTGAAATATTTCCAGTTGGTGAATAGTAAAAGAGTTTTCCATAAAAGTAACAGTGAAATGTATTATTATAATAGAAGTATGCATCCGAATGTTTTGAAAGTTGCTGTACCATTGGTGAGTTATATCCCGACTTTCTACTAGGTAACGATGACATTGGCATTTGATTAGATTTATCAGGCAATGAATAAAGATGAATACTAACCATTAAAATTGGCCAAAATAGTTCTAATATTGTGACAATCCAATGTCTCTTTCTAATAAGCCAATCCTTTTTGTACATGGCTTTCAATTGTTCCCAATGTAGAGATGCCATTTTGAAATGCAGCTCTTAAATACACTTTTTGATTTCTTTATGTGATTAAACAGTCTTTTTATGATGATTGTTGAAGCATTAAATAGTACGGACACGGACAACAATGTAATTAATCACTGGATGAATTGCATAAAATGAAGCTAAACTAATCACAAAATAAATTGAAGGTTTAAGGTTAATAATTAAAATGGTGTTTGTTTAACTAATATGAGTAATAAGGGTTTAGTATTTTCATTTATGGAAGATATCTACAGACATAAATCAATCGATAATCGGAAGTTAGATTGATTTTTGCAATATTATAATTACTTAAATGTAGATGTTTATCATTCCAGTTAAACTCATAGGGCAATTTTTATTTTCCTTTTCGTTTATTGGCTAACAATTGTAAGACTCACATCTATTATTGATCAATTGTTTTCGCCAATGTAAAGATTCAGGGTTGTTTGAGATCAATTATGACACTATATTGATGAAACATAATTATTCAAGAAACTTAATCTTACCGTTAATGGCAATTTTCAATTGGCTGAGATGAGCTTCTTTTTTTTAACATTTACGCGTTCTTCAGAATTGAGTTGACTTAGATTACTGAAATATTGTTATCATTGAAGTTTAAATTCAATAAGTCAGGTAGAGATAAAAAATGTGTCAATCCTCTGATTAACTCCTATTGAATAAAAAATTCATAACCTGTTGAATCAACACGATTATCCTGTTTGTCACAATCATCTCTTTTAGATACAGTTGAACTTGAAAAAAACTCTCAAACTGAGAAACTGCCAAGTAAACAAAGCACAGACTAAGTTGAGGTTGTAATCATTCGTGACTCGACTAAGCATCATAGGAATTTCTTAATGATAAGTTTTAATTAATCATAAAATTTTGATGTTTATATGTTTACCGGTTTTAATCATCAAAACCGTTAGTAAAACCATAGTAACCATGGTTAGTTTCCTTCTAGTTACGAAAAACGTTTGGCGCCAAGATTCGAAAAATAAAATCAACAATTTAATATGAATCGATCTAATAGTTTTAATTTCATTAAATTATTTTTTATTTTATCGTGAGTTTGTCAGATAGCATGAAACAAATTTTTTCATCAGCAATTTTTTATCTATTGTACTGTATTGTCTCAAGCAGTCATAGGCCTAGAAATTTTTTTGAACGTTGAATGATCTTTTAGACACAGATCCAATACTTTTCACCCTTGATTTTTATCATTATAAATAATTATTATAATACACTAATATTCAATTCAATTATTGAGTAAAGATCATGGAATCAGATCAAGATATACTTTGTATTATCAGGTAAAAGGGTTTAATCAATATAAACTGGTGTGCATTACAATTAATACGAAATGGTCAGCATTTGAAACTTGATTAACATCACCAATCGGGGGCCAAATATTTCATAGACCTTATTTGCTTAAACCATTGGATAAATTGACAATATTTACGTTATTCTCACTAACGAGCTCGTAAGTTTTTATTGTACTTCATTTCAATCAGTCGAAATTTGTTGATTTACATTTTATTAAATTCAGTGGTTTTTGCCCATAGGTAAAGTTCATCAATTGACAACAGATGGCAATTGAGGTCCAATTGAACATTTTTTTTCTGATTTCAACCTTTTCTGAATAATTTTCATTTCCGAATTTGATAAATAGTAACATAAATTCATGCTAGAATATTCCGAAAAGTTTTCAATTTATCAAAATAAAAAAATCCTACCAATACTGTTCACTGAATACCATTAAGTACATCATACAAATTGGACAACCTTAATTGTCTGTATAATATGGGATTACAATAATATGTGGTTATAATAAATATAAATAAATATAATAGTTGAGTTACAAGTGTCTAAGGTTTAAAATATCAGTATTAACGTACATTATCGAAATATTGGAAGAGCTCTCAAGCACAATACAAGAAAACAAAACAGCAAAATGGATCATGATAAGAGACACAAATGTAATGAACAAAAGATGGTCAAAAGGAAATTCCAGAGAGAAAAATCAAGAAATAATCAGAATAATTGAGACAATTATGGATCAAAACAAACTGAAAGTAGTCAATAATCAACAAATACCAACCAGTGAAAGGGGAGGAACAATAGACATAATACTAACATATGAGGAAATTAAGGTAAGCTATGTAGACGTAGAAAAAATCAAGAATCTGAACATAGTGCGATACACACCTATGCAAAAATACGCCAAGATAAGAAAATGATGTAAAAACAAAGAGGAAAAATCATTATATGCCATTAATGAAGTTAATTTGATTACTTTTATCGGAATAATTCTGTTGTTCCATTTCTACAAGTATCAATATGAATCCTGAAACAGGAAACACGTAGTCACGAAAGTGACTTCAAATGAAAGCGAATGTGAAACTGACAAAATTCAAAAAAGTTTTGGTTAGGTTAAATTTATTGTAACAAAAAAACTCAAAAAAATTTTCACGAAAACTACCCTGAATATAAAAAATTATCTTCATCATCCTGTTTTTCATGTCATTCTACATCTAAAAATCTATTTCTCAGGCAAATTCCGTACTCCTCCTTAACCCAAATTCAGTTCACGAGATTATCGTTCTCTCTGCAGCTTCTCAACATCTCATTCTAGTTTTGACTTCCCTTTAAAAAACTGTTTTGAAGACTTTTTAATCTGTCAATTTTCACTTGTTATTTTTCAAGACACAGCTTTTTCAGCTAAAAATTCAAGTATCATAGATTCAATTGAAATTCATGAATCTTACGTGCAAGACAGGAGAGTTGATCTTAAAATGAGAGGAAATTAGATCTTATTAAAATAAAATAAAGATTCTAATGGTGCTCAATGAGAATCATTAATTGACTGAATTATAATACAAAATAATGGCTTTTTAATGTTGATAATAAGTTACAAAATATGATAACATTTGTAAGATCAACTTTCTTTGGCAAATGAAAGGAAAATTTGTTCTAATGTTGTTCCAGTTAAAGTGAAATCTTCAATCATTAGTGAACTTTTTCCTTGTTCCAATGCTCGTAGCATTTCACCCCATCGAGCTGAGGCATTCTTAACATGGTAATGAAGAATAGTTTGATGAAAATCGCGTAATATTGCACTTGGAAACTTTTCTTGGATAAATCTTTGGATTCTCTCAACTTCGCCATCTTTTTTCAAGGCTTCTTGATTAATTTTGATAACCAAAGTGTATCCTTGACCGAATTTTTGTTTCAAATGTTGAGCTGAACCTAAATATTAAAATAAAATCGGTTAATTACAAGTGAATAATTGTTAAAAAGAATGTCCATTGATAAAGATTCTATATTTACCTAAACATTTAAAGTTTCCTCTTGCCATTATACCAATCCTAGAGCATAAAGCTTCACATTCATCCATAGAGTGACTAGTTAATACTATTGATGAGCCACTTGTATCCCGAAGATGCATTAATGTGGACCAAATCTTACGTCTTGATGCCGGATCAACACCAGTAGTAGGTTCATCCAGAAACATAACCTTAGGTTTAGCTATAGCAGCAATTGCTAATGATAATTTCCTCTTATTACCACCACTTAAATTTTCATTACAGGTTTTTGTGAATTGGGTTAAATCAGTTGATGTGATTATATAGTTGACATTTTCTTTGACTTTATTTTCAGGCATTCCTGCAATTAAATCGAAATGAAATTAAAATATGAAATATGGTAATAATAAATGCATGAGTAAATTATGAAACTTACCTCTGATACGAGCAAATAATGTTAAAGTTTCTAGGGGCGTCAGTTTGTCAAGCAAAGCATCAAATTGTGGACAGTAACTTATAGACTGTTGGAAATTCAATAAATCTTTCCTCAATGAATATGATTCAACAAAAGCATCGCCTTGAGTAACCATCAAATCACCAGTTAACATTCGGAATGTTGTCGTTTTACCAGCTCCATTGACACCAAGCAATCCAAAACATTCCGCTTTGTGAACAGCAAAACTAATTTTATCGACTGCTCTGAATGAACCAAAGTCTTTACTCAATTCACTTACAGTCAGAGCTTCAGTGTTGACTCTGCCCGATGTTATTAACTGGGCAACGCGATATTTTTCAGAAGTGACATCATCGTCTTCAACTTCACCTTGGGATTGAGGTGATGATGATAACCTTTTCCGTATTGAATCATACCAATAGTTGAAACGATGTAAATTAGTGTCTAATAAGATTAGAATGAGTATGTATAAAACTGAATCCAGACAAAGTATTGCAATTTCAGGTAGAACTCCATCGTTTTTCCACGCAAATGGTTCATACTTTTTATATTCTGAATTTTTATCACAACAGATGGGACGAGACAATAAATTACCAGGATCACAAGCATTGTATTTACGACATCCTTTGATCAAAGTTACTTGGGAATAAACTTTGGACAAACCAAAAGACATGGCAAAAGGCGGAAAAAGATCTCCAAGAAATACATGAAGTGATTTAATTTGATCTGAAGCAACCAAAATTGCAGCTAACCCTGAACCAATAAGAGTACCGATAAGTGAAATGGTAACTAATAATGAAAATCCACGAGCAGGTTCTATCGGCAGAAATGAGAATAAATAAAACAATGGAATCGATGCCAAACCATAAAGTAACATAAGTATGAAAACAGAAACTGTAATAAGAAGCAAATGTTAATATTAGAATGTGAATAAAAACTCTTCAATTGAAAAATTGTTAATTGACAAACTGCAACATTGCTTTACTTACAAAATACTTCATTGCTTGTGAAAATAAAGCGATCAATTATAGTGATTCCTAAAATCATCATTATTGACACAATAATATGATAAGAAAAGTCGAAGATAATGTGGCTGCACCAAAAGATTGGAGCTTTAATACCACTCATTTTTTGAATCAAATTAGCCTGTGAAATCAAAAAGAAAATTACTCATTATTAATTATATTTCTTGATTGTTTGTAGCAGTCTTTCACAAATATAAACATTTTCAACTTGAAAATTTCAATGATATTTCTCATGAATGAAAGAACCACTAGATGGCTCTTTTTAGGGTTTAAAATCAAGAGTTAGCTATTGTAGTAATCTGTACTTTACTCTGATTAAAGTCTATTAATAAATTATAAAAGGTGAGCTTCAGAATAAAATCTAAGATTAAAATGGAGAAAATGTCAAGTGCACGGAGATCAGTTGCAACACAAACAATATATGCAAGCGTCTAAAGATTTAGACTGCTTTTTGAAATGGCTTTAAAGTAAGTTATATTTTGTGATTTACTGCTTCAATTTACCACGAAATCTCTTCATCTTTCATTTCTTACCTTATTTGCAGATTCAGTGGAGGGAAAGAGGAAATATGATACAGCAATAAAACTGAAAGCGATTGGTGAAAATAATGCTGTCATAATACGAGATGCCATGGAGAGTATTTGTGGCTGTTCACCGGCTCGATTAGGCATTGGGAGATATGTCGTAACTACTTTTGACATTGATCTAGCTTCGTCACTTATTCGAATCAAAGTATTGGTCCAGGCGTCAACACTCAATGGAAGAGATATTGATGCCTTTGGATTGTACCAGATAGTATAACCTTTTAGACGTTTCGGGTCTTCAATTATGCCGATAATGTTTTCTCTCATAAATTGTTCTCCAGTTTGTTTACTTGTTTTCATGTAATCATCCATTGACAAAGAAGATGGAATTTCAACAATTTCGATTCCCGCTTCTTTCATGATGGTACGATACCCTTCAATGAAAGGGTCACTTTTGTTGGAAGAAGCTCGGATAACTGCTTTAGCATTTTCACCATAAATCGATTTCAAATTTAGATCAATTGGATACGGATAATCATCAAATGAATCAATAATGTAAGATTTTACGTTTCTCGTCGCCATAAATGTTAGTAATATGACC